TTTTTAATGAATTCATTCAGTTTTTTTTAATCACATTTCAGTTTGACAGGTTCAACATAGCCATGCTTCTTGTTTCTGTAGCTGACTCAACAAAAACCTCAAAACCCAGTCAGAGATGACTGGGATCACATTGGTGGTTATCAATATTCCTTGTTAAGCTAGGCTTCAGACTCTGCTAACTTAATCTATTTATTTTACTACTCATTGTGCACTCAGTTCTGCTGTTTTAGGGCTCTACAAACTATAAACGTGCTACAGATAATTATCAAAAACTACTAAGTCCATTGAGAATAACACTGTTACATGGCATAATGGAGAAGATTTGGAATAGCATAAATTTTTGGTTACTGACTGAATATTCTTACTAATAAACAGCCTCCTAAAATCCATCCATTTACATATTGTTTTTTTGGGCTACATGGGAGCTTCCTTAGGGATTATTAAAGTATTAATATTATTCTTAAAGTATTCTGATTCTGACTGAGCCTAAATGAGCCTTGACAGGTCACCAGTGTATATTTCAGACAGACACACACTCACAATCTGCTAAATCTAAAGACCCAGTGTAAACCAATTAAGAATCATCAGTTACCTTCAAAAGCTTGTCTGAACTGCATGAGGAGCCAGACTACTTGGAGAGAACCTGTGCAGGCAAAAGGGAGAACTTACAAACTCCATGCAGAAGACACACCGAGTCAAACAGGCGGTTTAAACCAGGAAGCTGGTTTAAAACTTTCTTTTATCAGTTGCATTTCAACCAAAGTAAAACACTCTTGGCTTACAGAGTTTGCACCGCATGGTATTATTCAGTGGTATTACCAACATACACCTCGATGAATGTATTAAATATACTCTCTCAGGAAAGAATATTTATTTTTCTTAGAACATATTTCCAGGATAAAAGTAGGTGCAAATGTGGTACTTATAGATTATTTTAAATTGAAACTCTGAATGGAAATCAGGGATTTTCCAGATGAGGTTGTGTTTTAAGCATAAGCTAATGAAAGCTCATCAAACTCACTGTATTGATTGGTTATTTTATGTGATAAAAAGCCTACCAACAGGCACTAATTCATTTTCTGGCTTCTGTTCTGTTTGCTCGCTATTTGTAAAATAGATTTGAGAGGCATGTATAATCTTGTGTCAACCCTACAGGCTCTTTACACTTTTATATCTGTACTACACTGGTTCATTTGATCCCAGTCAAAGGCTTGCACATGCAGGGAGCCGGTTTGGCCCTGTGGGTGAGCTGAGGACCATATGCCACACAAATGGAGTGCAGCGGCCTGGGTTCGGGTTTAACGCGTGGCCCTTTTCTGCATGTCTTCCCCTTGTTTATCTCCCTGTTTTCCCACCTGGTCAACATGACCAAGCTTTCTTTGCTTTACCTGATTCACAAAACGTAAAAGTGGCTCAAAGCCATGCTTTTAAACCAGGCTGGCTGCCTCAGGATTTGCGCACTGTCACATATACAGTAAGTGGGCATTTGACATGTCATTTCACTCATCCTTTGCACAGAATGGACAGATTGAATGTTGTCTGCTGCACTGAGTGAAATCGTTAGAGAAATCGATGAGAAAGTTGAATAAAGAACATAAAAAATAAAATGGCAAAAGGCGATAAGAGTTTTGTGCCTGCAATTACATCAGTTAGTGATGTTGCAAAAGAACCATTAATCTTCTCAATTATTGAGTTAATATATTTATTTTATGACTTGTGACTGCTGTTCACCAGTCCTTTACAGATCTGAAACTTGAAACATATTTAGACATTTAGGACATTCAGTCCATTCCTCTGTGGCATTTTCCTGTCTGTTGCCAGATTAAGGTGAAACTAATATTATTTATGTTCTTTGTCACAAGTAACCTACTAATAGACTAGTTAGCTACACTACAGGAAGCAGATTAGAGTTGTACATTAAGAAAACATACAGTTTGCATGTTGTAAAATTGCCGCATGGCTTTCTTCCTCCTCAGGTATGAAGCATATGAACCGACAGAAAACAGCAAAAATCCTGAACATAACCAGCTCCAGACGAGGTTGTGTGTTCAGCACAACTTACTATGGTGATCTTGCTAGATTAAAAGAAATCACATATATGGCAAAGACAATTCTGGCTTTAGGGTCAACCTGAGCCAGTAACGTGTTCTTTTAGTACATCCATCAAACTGCTTTGTGTTAGCAACTCTAACTCGAGCTCACTTATTCTTATTATACACCTTTTTAGTTTGTATGGATACACATGTTCTATACATGCACAGCAGATTGCTTTCCAAAGGAAGACATGATCTTCTTTGCCCAATATTTGGACAAATTATTGCACATTTTTCTGTGTATTTGTGCTAACACAAACATTCAGATTAACTCAATCATTCTTCATATTGTATTCTCTAGCCAGATTTCTCCATATGGAAACACCACTAGCCCCTTTAACTAAGTAATCATCCAAGTCTTGACCTTTTTTCTAATTGTTTACCTATTTTAGAGGTCAAGGGCGTCAAATTCAATTTTACAAATGGCAACAGTGGAAAGTGAAAATCACATTAAAGCCCATCTCAGCCTTGCCTCTCAAAGTTTATCTCAAAAGCCACTGAGCCATCAATGTGATGTATTCATTTCTAACCTTGTCCATCCTGGTCACTCACAGTGAAAATCTTAACATCTTCCACTCTGCCACCTCCAGTCTTTTAGTCAGTGCCACCATCTCCAAACCATACATCAGAGGAAGTCACACTGCCATCTTGTACCACATTAAAGGCTCAGCATATATCATTTCTTAATACATGTCCCATATGCTTATATAAGACTGAATAAAACTACTTAAGGGGCATTTACCCCGCCCCTCCCTGAGCCTGGTTCTGTCGGAGGTTTCTTCCTGTTAAAATGGAGTTTTTCCTTCGCACTGTTGCCAAAGTGCTTGCTCATAGGGGGTCATATGATTGTTGCTTTTCTCTCTGTATGTGTTATTGTAGGGTCTACCTTACAATATAAAGTGATTTGAGGCAACTGTTGTTGTGATTTGGTGCTATAGAAATAAAACTGAATTGAATTGAATAGTGATGATTTGCCACACTATTAACAGTTAATAATGTAATCTCAAATTAAGCGCTTGAATTCAATGAATTGCTGGAATTCACTGAATTTAAGCGCTTGTAGGGTCTACCTTGAGGTGACTGTTGAACAGAATAACAAATCTTTGTTTTTGTTCTCGCATATGTTTCTTCTAGTCTTATATAATCTGTTTTACTGGTCTGAACATGACATGTGGACTCTTCAGTGGGTAAACTGGCCAAAATTCATGCACTTTTTAACCACAATTGTACAATAAGTAATTTTTTAAAGATTCATTAGCGGCAGGTGTTCAGCAGATAATAGTCCAAGTTGCAGAGCAGAAGAGTGTATTCACACCTACAGTGCATCGATCTGTGTGGTGTGAATACACTGTTGTTTTTGCAAGTGGAATGAAACAAGCTCTTTAATCCCACCCACTTTTGAATTATGCTGCATCAGCTTTAAATGGAAGCCTGCAGAATTTGGCAACACAATGCTGCCATAATGGCGTGATTTATTTGTGGTAGCCATTAAAATATGGTACTATGTCAGCTACGATGGCCTCCAAAAATTCCCTTCACAGATACCCTTTGGATCTGACTGTGCCTGGGCTGTATGCACCATAAACCTTTGATTCTTTCTCTTCTCGATTCCCTTCTTCCTTTAGTCTGCCTTTTCTCATCTCCTTTGTCCACCCCCTCTCTGATTTCTTCTCCTTCTGCCTCACTCTGTGTGTCAGTAAAGCCAAGAGAAAAGAGAGTGAGAAAGACCTGCTTTCTGCTGGCTCTGCATTATGAGAGGGAGAGCGAGGGATGTGAGCGAGTGAGCGCTAGCAGCAGTTTAGCAGACTGTGCCAAAAGAAGGAATGCAGCACTGCATTATGAAAGCCATAGGATATAGGTCCAACTCTGTGAAAGATAAATGAGAGAAGCAGGATTTAGAAGATGCACCCCACCATACACATGGCTGATGTGATAATAGGACGGAAGTAAATAAGCAATGCATCATCCAGAGCAAGCCAGAACAGGACGTTTCCTTAAAAAGTGCAGCATTTTCTGGTGCTTCAAATCACGAAGGAGTACCTTGTCATAGAAGGAAAACGCCTCCTACTCCCCTAAGTCTCAGTGTAGTTGGAGACTGGTAATTATCTATTCTAGGGAAGAACTGACACAAAGGGAAGCACCACAAGCTTTGATCTCATCAAATCTCCTCATCCACATCATGTCATGAACAGAGCTCAAAGATTTAGGGGAGAGAAGAGGAGTATGAGCGAAGGGCAGAACGGGGGTTTATCAGACTTGCCATATACCATTTTTAGGTCAGCCCAAGGCCAAACTTTGCTCCGTACACCTGCCTCTCTGCAAGCGGGGGGCTGCAGCCTTGGCGTGGAGCTCTGTCGTGCTGAGCTATTTTGGGGACAAAACCAAATTTAGCCACTCACTTTCTATCTGTTGTTCTCCCAGCTCCTTCCTGAAATACAAGAATGCATACAGACTTGGGAAAAGGATCTATAGGTTTGTGGCTTAGTGTGTTTATTCAATTCAAAATATTCATTTGGTGAAATGAATCAATAAAAGGTTCATGAAAAAAATGCTTTCAAAAGGAAAGTTGATTTACGGTACATGTCAAGTCTTAAAAAGTGGTGGACAGGCGACTGAGGCGACTGTTGTCGTGATTTGGTGACGTATAAATAAAATTGAACTGAATTGAATTGACAGTTGTTTGCAGCATCGTGCAACTTATAGGTTTCTAGTAGCAAGCAAGGCGATCTGTAGGAGCCTTCCATTGAAGCAAAGCCTGACATTAAAGGAGTGCAAGAGCGAGAAGCAACAAAATCACTCAGCCAGGAAGTGACAGTGCCACACATAATGTCATTTTAATAAAGCAATTTCACGACTATGCACCATTCTCTAAAAACCTACCCTAACACTTGCACTTTCTTTCTGCAGGAAGGTCAGGAGCTGATCCAGGAGAAACCTGAGCTCCGTTCAGTGGTGCAGCAGAAGCTGGAGGAGATTAGGGAGTGCTGGTCTGACCTGGAGACCACGACCAAGGCCAAGGCCCGCCAGCTCTTTGAAAATAACAAACCCGAGCCGGCAGTGAAGAGCTACTCAGACCTCGACAATCAGCTCTCCCACCTGGAGCAGCAGCCCCCCCAGCTGGAACAGGCGCACCACCTGCCAACCTTCAATGAACAGCTCCAGAAATTTCAGGCAAGTCCCAAGGCCCTCCTCTTGGTCTGAACATGTCTCTTAAACCAGCGCAACATAAAATTCAACCAAATGTTTTTAACATATCAAGAAAGCTGTAATTAATTATTATTGGTTAACACCACCTTGGATGTAGGTGCATATTTCCACTGAAGTGTGGAGCCTTCTTGTATAGTTTGGCTTAAATTGCAACATTTTTCTGTATAGTTGAAAATTTTCAATAAATAGCCCACAGCGGCCCTTGTAGTGGCCTGCTCTCAAACATGGGGTTCAGAGGCATTCAAAAATGCACCTGTTATATAACCCTGAAATGTTCTGTTAGGGAAACAGCTGACATGCTGTGTTTGTCCATCCTTCATATGGTTGTAACATGACCTTTCCTTTCTATCCGGTGAAGGCTATGGAGTCTCAGATAGGGGACTTTTACAAGGATGTGGGAGAGCTTGGAAGCTTGCAGGGGCTCTGCCTACCCCAGCGAGGGCTGATGGCAGGTGACAAGGAGGTCGGCGAGCAGTCAGGCGAAGTGGAGACCCGTATAGTCCGCCTCATCGAGCCCCTGAAGGAGCGACGCCGCATCCTGCTGGCTTCCAAAGAGATGCATCAAGTCGCCCAGGACCTGGAAGATGAGATAGTGAGTCCCTCCTCTTCTTGTTTCATATATTTTGTCTTAAATTTAAACACTGCTTATAAAATGTGCCAGTATGGTTGTTACAATATCATCACACATAATTGCTTTTTCATATTCAGAATTTGCAAAGTAAATATATCATGTCTTTGCCATCGCTTCCGTGTTTGGTCTACGTTTGATCGTAAACATGCCTTCTGAAATATTTAATAACCCCACTGTGGTTGTTTGGCAGCTGTGGATTCAGGAGAGGCTTCCTTTAGCTACTTGTAAGGATTATGGAAACAACCTCCAGAGCGTACAGCAGTATATCAAAAAGAACCAGGTAAGTCAGGGATGACTTTTGGCCATGGTCAGCTGAAATGTAATCCACATTCTGATAAGACTGAGAACTTTCTCATCGGTTCTGTAGGCAATCCAGAGGGAGCTGACAGGGCGGCGGGCTCGTATTGAGGAGGTTCTTGATCGGGCAGCAATCATTGCTTCACTGAGAACTCCTGAGGTGGAATTTGTACGTGAGGGGGCGGGACATGTACGCCAGCTGTGGGAGGTGCTGCAGCTGGAGACGGAGAGGAGGTCTGTGTTGCTGGAAGCTGCGCTACAGGCTCAGCAGTACTACAGCGAAGCAGCTAAAGTGGAATCCTGGCTGTCAGGACAGAAGCTCAACCTGGCCAGCGAAGAAAAAGGCACAGTATGTACCCCTGTAATATTCACACTGCTCTTTACTGCCATAGGTTATCATCAAAGTGATCATGGTGTTTTATTTTTCAGGATGAGGCGAGCACGCTACAACTTCTGAAGACCCACCTGGCTCTGGAGCAAACCGTGGAGACATATGCAGAGACCGTAGGCATGTTATCTCAGCAATGCCAACATCTACTAGAACTAGGACACCCAGACAGGTGTGCCATAATCCCTGCAGATTATCCTAAATTTGTTTTGCACATTCTAAGTACTAAAGTTTAATGGAAAATTGCTTTGAAATTGTAATTGTATTCCTTTGATTTGTTTTAACTTTCAACAGTGAGCAGATCACCAAGCAGCAGTCCCACATAGACCGCCTCTATGTGTCTCTGAAGGACATGGTGGAACACAGAAAGATGAAGCTGGAACAGCAGTACTGGCTGTACCAGCTCAACAAGGAAGTAGAGGAGTTAGAGAAGTGGATCACTGAGCGTGAAGCAGTAGCCAGTTCCACTGAGCTAGGCCAGGACCTCGAGGATGTCACGGTCAGTATATCTACAAGGTTTTAGCATCTAGTCAAACAACAGGAACACGTGAGGTGTTCTAGTCTCAGTCAATTCTGAGCCCAAACTGTGAACCGTGGCAAGGAAATTTCACGACTGCACAGGTGGCATCCTAATACAGTGCCACACCATTCTTTCTCAAATGTTTGTAGAAGCATGCTGCATGCCTGGTTGCTTAATCTTATACACCTGTGGCCATGACAGTTATTGGAACACCAGAATTCAATGATTTGGATGGATGGGTGAATACTTATATAGTGTATACCATAAAGGAGACAGACATATATTGTGTTTCAACTTTGATCTCTCTTGGCTGACTACAACATGTTTGTTCCACCAACAGCCATGGCCATAGCTAGGATCATGTGCTTGAATTGGGAGGGGTAAGAAAGCAAACTCAGTGGACTTCAATCTGCAATATACTGACATCTTGTGGTGAAAACTTTACACCGTGTAACTTTTTTTTTTGAGATTGGAAAATTAATGAGCACAACAGCACCACCCACCTGTTTTTCATGTGTTCTTTCTGTCTGGGACAGCTGATCAGAGAAAAGTTGTCTTAAATGGGGTGAACTGCAGGGGGGCACCGTGGCCTGCAAGCATTCACTGGAAGTGGTGCAATTTGGTCCAGTTTTAATCAGCTGCTCAGTCACTAAACAGATTTATTTAACAAACATCTTTTGCATTGATAGGATACACCTGACTTTCCTCTAACGTGCATTGGAGACATTTTTGACGAGGAACTTATTTGTCAGGACAGGAGAAAGCATTCTGTATTTGCAGGGTGGAAATCATCCACTGTGTTAAATTACATTACATTTATGAGAATAAAGAATGTTGCGTTGTTTATTTGCGTTTCAGGTCCTTCAGGAGAGGTTCACCAAGTTTGCATCAGAAACCAACAGCATTGGCCAGCAGCGCATGGAGCAAGTGAACAAAATGGTGAACGAGATGATAGACTGTGGCCACTCAGACGCGGCCACTATTGCTGAGTGGAAAGACGGACTGAACGAGTCGTGGGCTGACCTGCTGGAGCTGATGGAGACCCGCAGACAAATGCTAGCAGCATCGCACCAGCTGCACAAGTTTTTCACCGACTGCAAGGAGGTATGGTCACATCCGATATCAGACAGTGACTCAGGTGTGCCCTGTTCTTCCTCAACATTACAGGTAGACTGTCTGGGCGTGAGTTGCAGCTTCTATTTTTAAAGCACTCATGATGACAGCGTTGTCCTGTGTTGTAGGTCTTGGCTCAGATCGCAGGGAAGATGAAGCAGCTGCCAGAAGTGAGGGCGTGCCAAGCCAACATTACCAATCCAGCCACCCTGCAGAGACTCATGCACTCTTTTGAGCATGCCCTTCAACTTCTAGTTGCACAGGCAAGTGATATACTCACCAAACTTGTGTTTGTCACAAAATAGATTATACATCATAGACAAAGCAAACTTTGACTAAAAACTAAGGCTAATCTTTTATTAATTAAACAGAGTGATGCATGTCTTTATGCAGGTGAGGCAGCTGCAGGAGAATGCTGCCCAGCTGAGGACCATCTATGCTGGTGAGAAGGCTGAGGCTATTATGGTCAAGGAACAAGAAGTGATGGATGCATGGAAGGAGCTGCTGAGCTCTTGTGAGGCCAGTCGTGTCCAAGTGACTTCAGTAACTGATAAGGTCCAGTTCTTCTCAGTGGTGCGTGAAAACCTAATGTGGATGGAAGGAATCATGGGCCAGATAGGATGGGATGAGCCAAGGTAAGGTAGCATATGCTTGTTAAGGTATGGCTCTCCTTTATTACAGTTTGGAAAAGATGAATTAGAGCTTTAGAGAGTGCATTTTTGCCTGCAGGTTTCTGTGGTCTTATATGGTCATTGAAGACAAAATGTTAATATTGTCTTCTGTGCCACTTTGACCTAATTTCATATGACACCTGCTACACCGTTTGTTTTTGTTTTTTGTTGAGGGTTTCTCAGGTTGACACTCTAATCACTGCCTTTATTTGTCATGTTCCCAACCAGTACCACCGTCCAACTTGCAGTATTTTCATATTTGGCCTGAAATCTTTCAGCAGATGTCCACATATCAGCATATGCATGAACATACAGCACTATGGGAGCCACAAAGATGGCGAAACATATGCACATGTAGTGTGTTTTGATGCAGCTAACATTTTTATGCCTCTGCAAAAATTGAGCCTTCCTCACCTTTTGATCCCCACCATCCTTTTTTCTCATCACTTGCAGTGCCATCTTTTGGCACAAGCCCTTGGAAAAAAAAATTTCATGTCTGGCTATAAGATTGTGTGCTCCTTGTCTTTTTCTTTTTCTTCTTCTTCTTCTTCTTCTTCTTCTTCTTCTTCTTCTTCTTCTTCTTCTTCATGCAGTCTGCTAGTTTTTTTAATATTAACTTTGACACCAAAAACTTTTCACTCAATCCGTAGAAAATGTCTGGTGCAGGGTAAGAATGTTTTCACACTCGTCCAGGTAATAAATGAAGGCTGGTGTGATAAAGCCTGACAGTATGATATAAAATTCCGGTGTGATATAATATGCTGACATAATATTGGTCAATCACTGATTTTTGTGTGAATCATTCATATACATGGCTGGTACATGAGGCCCTTTGGCAATCTTTTGCTCTTTGACAGATTTGCAAACTATTGCTGCCAATACAATCACATCGCTAATACTGCTAAATAAGGAGACTAATATGGCTGTTAAACAACTGTTTAAGAAGTAGAACTGTCAGGATTCCTTTTTAAAAATATTTTGTGAGGGGGTTAATGTAACCAGAAAAAACTAATCTGTGTTCCTCAGAGATCTGACAGCTCTGGAGGGAATGATGAGACAACACCAGGAGCTGAAAGCCAAAATAGATGGGCGCAGCAAGACCATACAGCAGTGTGCAGATCTCGGCAAGATCCTGATTGCTGCTGGCAACCCTGCTTCAGAGGAGGTCTGACAAAAAATATTCACACTGTTAATATAAGAATACATAAAAATCATACAATTACTTTATGTAGTAATGAAACCAACATGCCTGTCGCCGCAGATAAAAGAGAAGTTGGACAGTCTTCTGACTAAGCAGAAGGATCTTGTTGAAAAATGGGACAAACACCAGGAACGGCTGCAGCGCAGTGAGTAAATAGAATACTTAATAGATGAATACTTAACAAAACACTCTGTTAAATGTTAAATGGGCCTAAACTATAAATGTTTTTCCCTTTCATGCCACTATGTGCATTTAATATATCATGAATCATGTATGAATCTTACTGTTCTTTTCTGGTTGAGCTGACATTGCAGATTCACTCTCAACACAATTTAACCAAAAAGACTGAAATTCAAGCTGTAACATAAATGATAAAATTCCCTCATAATACATACACAAACATGTAAATAACAGATTCTACTGAGTATGCATTAAGCATGTAGTGAGTTGGTAATAGTGTGGCTGGTCTTCTGTCACTTCCAGAGCAAGAAAAATTCCAGTTTGCTCAGGAGACAGTAAAAGCAGAAGCCTGGCTAAAGGCCAAGGAGCCGCTGATCACTACCAGGCATCAAGAGGGAGGAGTAGCCCAAGCCCAAACTGATGAGGTTGAGCAGCTCATCCTTCGCCACGAGGCCTTCCGCAAGGCTGCTGTAACCTGGAAAGAACGCTTCAGCTCCCTGCGCCAGCTTTCTGCTGTAAGCTTGACTGTAGATAAATAATGAATCAGTTTGCTGGAGTCACAGTTTTTTTTTTAAAGTGACTACGTGTTGTGTTTGCTTAGCAGGCATGGGCGCATACCATGAGTTTGCATCATCACAGGCTTTAATCTGGCTCGTGACATTAAGTGCATGTGGTGTACCCTAATCCCACTGCACCCAATCTGCCTTCCGCGCTACATTGCTTAGTGTTTTGTCTGGCATATGTATGAAATGAACAAATCACTAGCTTTACCTGCATCTTTTGGAACCATCGCATAAAATGTGGCGTTAATCAAGTTTATGTGGTGCTATTAGTTATGTAGCTAACTCTCTCTCTAGGCTGAGAAGAAAAAAGAGGAGGAGAAAAGGACCCCACTCTCCAGCCGAAGGATGTTCCCATTATCTTGCCTGACTCCCAGTGTTCCCTCAACCAGTGCTACCTCTTCTTTCCTAAGGCAGACGGTACAGGCCCAAATTGAACCGAAGCCCTTGCAGCCCAGTTTGGATCTGGGTGCCACCTCTGCAAGCCAGAGACTGTCTTCAGCACTGGCCGGCTATAGTCCAGTTATAAATGGATCAGGCTACCACGGACTGGATCAGGGCAGCGGGAAGTTGATGGGTACTTCTTACCTTGGGATGAACCACCCAGCAGCCGGAGGTGGGAGTGACTCTGGTTTCTCAGCACTGACCTCTCAGAGTGGTGGAGTAGACACCTCCACCTATCTCGGTTTGAACCATCAAACTGCTTGTAGCGCAGAAAGCTCTGGGTACTTTGGACTAACTACTGGGAGCATGGGTGGGATGCAGAATCATCTGGGCAGTGGCAGGTTAGGAAGTTCAGGTAACCTAGCTCAACAGCCAGGCAGTGGAGGTATGGGAAGCCCAGGCTTTCTGTCTCAGCAGAATATGGGCAGTTCTGGATATCTGGCGCAACCGCAAAACATCGGGACTTCCGGATATTTGGGACAGCAGCCAAATTTAGGGAGTTCAGGATATTTGGCACAACCGTCCAACATGGGGAGCTCTGGGTATTTGGCACAACAGCCCAATATGGGAAGTTCTGGGTTTTTGGCACAGCAGTCTAATATGGGGAGTTCTGGATACCTGGCACAGAATTATCAGAGCGCTGGCGGATTGGGTAGCTCAGGCTATCTGGCACAAAATCATTACAGCAGTGGAAGCCTGGGCAGCTCTGGATATCTGGCACAGAGTGGTGGCATCATGGACCCTAAAATGGCATATGCATGGCAGCACCTGAAAGCTGACTTCATGCAGCCTAGAATCAACCACATCCACAAGGCTGTAAACCCTCTTCTCGAAGCCAGCAGAGTGCAGCGTGAACAGTTTGGCGACATCCCGATGGCAGACATGATGGGGCCAGAGTCAGGGCTGGAGCTCCTCCACGGCCGCCTCCAGAGAGATCCCCGTGGCAGCCGCTCTGACCCTCAGATGGACCATCTGAGGAGAGAAAGGGAGTACAAGTTGGGCAGACAGACCTCCAGCGAACAGGAAATTCAAGCGAGGCTGAATGAGCTGCCGCTGATTGTGCGGCAAGAGCGTTACCGGAGGCGCCTGGAGAGGCAGTCGTCTAGTGAACAGGAGGGGAGCGGCAAGCAGAGGCTGCAGAGGCAGGACTCGAGTGACCTGGAGGGCTCTGCTAAGGAGGGCTCTGACAAACGCTCAGGGTATGTGAATGAGTGGTTTCTTTACAGTTTGCCCAGTCAGCACAGTCCAGCATGATCGTTATCATTTGGAGGTTACGTAACGATTGTGTTTGCTGTGTGGGTGACTCATGTTTGCTGTCCATCCAGGGAGAAGAGAAATACCATGGCAGAGATTGTAGAGCAGGTCCAGGAGAGAGAGGCAGCACATGTGAGTTTACATACTGCACATCACAGTATTGTGGTGTCACTTTAGTTTAAATTATGTATAGACGCAATATTCTCTCTTTTGTTATCGGGTTTTTCAGGCACGAGGAGAGCCTTATCGACCTCCTAGCAGCCTCTCAGCACCCGTGACCCGTTTTGATGGACGTCCTCGCGCCCGAGACCGTCCCAAACCAAGGAGAAGGCCCCGTCCAAAAGAGCCTGAGGAGACTCGACGATCCCGCTCAGCCCCGGCAACTGGAGCCCCAACAACACCCCAGCCACCTTCACACACTGCCCACAACGAAGGTTCCCTCTACCGGAAAAAGGCCACCAGCTCTGACCTTGAAGCTCAGCAGAGAAGCCCAAACAGGTAAAGAAGTCATGAACAAAAGACAAACACCACCCCAGCAATAACAACTGCCTCATTAAAGGTCTGATCAAAGATTTGCAAACTATGGAAAACTGTGCAAACCAGGTCAAATAGCTTATGGTTTCAGCCAGCAGGGTATTACTTGTGTGTTTGCGAAAAGAAAGCAGGTTGTCTAGAAGCAACCTTCACGCTCACTGTCATTACTGTCTTTGACCAGAGTGAGCTGACTGTCTTCATTGAAGACTAATTTATTAAACTGACCTCAGTCGGATCCAGCTATCATGTTATCAATGCTATCAATGTTAGCATGTGTCATGAACTTTGAAGAAACCATCGACGGTTAGCTTTCAGTCCTGGTCAGTCACACTATATATGTGTTATGACACAGAGCGACAGTATAGTTAGATCTATATGTTTTTGGACAGTTAAATATTTTTGCCTCCAAAACCAGCAGAAAGGATTTTCCAAAGATTCATTTGCATGTTTGATTCAAGTGGTTTATCTCGGTTAACGGCATATTTGATTTGGGAAAACAGAGAGCTTGACAGGTTGATTGCAAATTTTCATTGATTTTTATTAGTTATTCTAAAATTTAAATGTGTATTGTTTGTAACAAAAATAACTGATGTGACCCAACTTATCTGCAGAAATGCATTACAAATCTGTTTGATGTCTCATTGTGATTTTCCAGCAAGTCCTGGGTGAACGTATATTGTGTGCTGAAAGATGGAAAGCTGACCTTCTATAAGGATGCCAGGAACCACAACACAACATACAACGGGGAGCCTCCTGTTGACCTTAGTAACTGCTCGTTTGATCCGTCGATGGGATACAAGAAGAAGAAAAATGTCTTCATCCTTCAGTAAGAATTATTCATATTATCATGGCAAATTTTATTGCCAGTAACTGTGATTTCAAATTGTGGTTTTACTGAGTTTATATTGAAAAGTGTAATATGTCTTTAAAGGTTATTGCCTATTAAAAGATTTTAAATTATTGATTAACCACATGGCTATAAAATACATGCAAATGCATAAAAACTGACAAGTCCCTATTGATTTTCTGTGCAACAGAGTGAACGATGGAAACAACTTCGTGTTTCATGCAAAAGATGAGGTAAGATACATTTGTAACTTGGTAAGGTCAATTAACTTACTGGTGTTAATATGTTAGAACTTAAAGACATGGAGCATTCTGATCAGTCAGTGCATTATCAAACTCATGAAAAGACAAAGATCATCAATAAATGTATTTGCTGCTCATTGTTCTGCAAAAACAATTTTGATTAAAGTAATAATCTACAGCATTGCACCGGCTGGCTCCTTGAACATTACCTTAAACGTGGGCACTGATCTGCACAGGTCGCCCTGCTACCAGACTCAAAATATGCCGAACAAATCAACTATTTACTCCAGTTTCAATAACATTTGTTTAAAAATACACTGTCAAGCTGTTTTAGGAAATCGCTTTTCAGGTAAATACTATATAAATTATTGGCCAGAAATTTACATACCCTCACCTTGGGCATGAATGGCATGGTCATTTTGGGCTTTTAATTGTTTCTCTGGCTTTTTCTTGTTTCACGGTGGAACGATTATACAGCATATGTCTTTAATGACATTAAAAGGCAAAAACTAGGAGCACAAGTTTGAATTCTTTTGGATTTTTATTTTCAAAATTGTCAAAATAATACATATAAGCTCACTTTAAACCTTTTAATAAGTGGTGCTAAAGGCTCTTCAATGTCTTAACTTGATAGGTCAAGGCCCTGTTAACTTCTTGTTAGTGATCATGACTGGTTGGTAGTTTCTCTTTACCAGCATAAAAAGGCATCACTCATTGGATTGACCGATACTTGCAACAAAGGGAACGTCCAAGGAACATGATAAATATCTAAAAATGAGGATTAAAGATTTACACAAGCATTTCTAAACAACAGCACATTCCAAGATCATCAGTTTAAACAATTGTACATAAATACAAGTAATTCAGATGTGTCACCACTGGACTAATAGGGTTCTGACCAAAAAAGAAGCCCCTGCTCCAAAATCAGCATCTTTAAACTCAACACCCCCTGACCTCAACCATCATGAAAATGTATGGACTGGGCTCAAAAGCAGGGCCAGAAAACCAACCAGTTTGAATGAATTCTACCAAATCTGACAAGAGTTGTCAAATGCCCAACCACAGTTCTGCTGGAAGCTTGTTGCTTGTTGATAGCGATCAAAACCCATCTGGTGTCACTGCAGCTTGCTAAGAGATATTTCACCAAATAGTATCAGGGGTGTATTTGAGCCTGTATTTAGCATTCTGGGTCTTCTCATCAAATATATTTGTCAGATGTTTGCTGTATAATCATTCCATTACCATAACATTCATACCCATGATGAGTCTATGTAAACGTCTGGCCACATGTGTATGTGATATGTTACTATTGACAAGAGGGTACTGAAGATCTAGAACAACAGAAATGTTGGTTTTGGTTTGTTAATGGAACTTCACAGATAACAGAATGACGTTTCTTTAACTTGTATCCAACACATTTTCACACATTTTGATTATAATATTACCAGTTTGTCTCTTTTTAATGCCACTGGATTACTAAAATCACACAAGGACAGCATAGAGGAGCATGTTGAGTAAGAGAATGATGTTACACAAATGCACCAGTGAGCGACACAGGAAATCATTCCTGCCTGTGGTTATCTCCTTGTACAACTCCTCCATCTAATACACAGTACACAGTGCAATAGTTACACCCTTTTGCACACGCTCTGTAGTGAAAATAACAAATAACAAAGTTTTACAGGTTAGAGTAAAATGTCAGTCATATATATCTAACCTCTGTAATATTCTGGAAATTTATAATTGAGCTATTTGTATATATATGAGCTATTCCTTATATTTTGTAAACTTTGTAATATATTGTGTTATTTAATTAGTTCAGTCTGTTACTGTTACTGTCTTGAAGCCACTGCAGCCACATAATTTCCTTAGGGAGTGAAGTATTCAGTGTAGTATTTATGTCAGCATTATGTTAAAAGTACACCGTTACTGCTTCCATATGAATTAAAGGGTAGGTTGCAGGCAGGTCCTGCTAATCAAATGTGTTAATAGATTAATAGATCTTGAGCAAGTGTGAACAGCTCTATAAATACTGACGTTTTGACTGTTTGGACCATTCAAGTACATGTTAACACAAAAAGGGAAAGACATCAGCAATGATCTTAGTGAAATAATTACTGGTGCCCATCATTCTTGGAATGGTTATGAAGCCATTTCCAAATGTTTTGAAGTTGTTTTGCAGTGATGTGAACACTTTGAGTTGCGTCGTATCCAGAAATATTCTAGGGTCAAATATGAGCTCATGTGTCCAACCACTAAAGCCTGACTCAAATAGGGTCCTGCAACAGGACAATGATCCCAGCAGCAGCAGGAAACAATCCTCCACAACACATTAACCATCTCTCAGTCCCTTAGATCAAGTGTAATTTTAAGTAAATGAAATGAAAATACTTCATTTTACATTCTTGCAGTACTTGGCATGTACAGAACCTAAATACTTCTTCTACTCTTGGTTCTGTCTTTATAGTTTGAACTCTTTCCACTTAGTAATTGATGGGTTCGGTTTGTGTGAATGAGGTGCGGCACAAAGCCACAAACCACTGATGTAATAAGAAGAGGTGCAACCTTCAGTCAAAGGCAAATTTGATTACATTGTTTCCCACCTGAAGACACTTTATTCAAATAAAGAAAATGTAGCGTTTCAGCTGGATGGTTTACATATATCTGCTGCAGGCTCAGATTTGGATGCGTAACAATGCGATGTGTAAATCCCAAACCACACAATGAATCAAATGCAAAGAGGAAAAAGCATTATATGATGAGCAGACTCCTTATATAAGCTCTCTGTCTGATCCTGGTCTCTGTAGGAGGACCTAAAGGCATGGACTTCCACTATCACCACCTGTATAGCTGAGCACGAGGCCATGGGCACGTGGGATAAGCCAGGCACCTCATCTATGGATCCTGACCGCTCTGAGAGGAAGGAGAAGTCGGAGGGAGATGCAGACGCCAGGTCAGAGAGGTCCGAGCTTGTAGAGGGGGAGGAGAGGTCTGAGAAGGAGAGATCAGAGAAAGGCGACGGCTCTGAGAAGTTAGACACATCTGAAATTGCTGACAAGCTGGAGGGTGGGGCGGGGGGCTCCAGCACGTCTGGAAAGAGCAAATGAGAAGCCCTTTTTTGTTTTACTGCTACTCACTGACAAACAGCATAGGAGGCAGGGATGGATGGAGAGCATGTGCAGTTAGGTTTGCAGGTCCTCGGTCACACAGCTGGAACACACCGAGGCCACGGTCCTTTGATTGACTATTGTAACTGTGACAGACTAATCTCTCAGCCTCTCCCCCTTCACCCAGGAAATACATCAGTGCTTGCGGTGGGCCACCTGCTGGTAGATAGGAGGCCGGCCGGGTGGACAAACAGGCAGACAGACTCCAACAAATGGTCCCAAGAATTAGTCACTGTCACTTCCTATTGTTGATCGTTTAATCTCTCGGATTCACAGCATCTTTGTTTATGTATCTTTGACTGATAATGTAATGCTCTGTCTATCTAGACAAACCTGAGAAGTGGCGAATGAAATGTTTCTCAATAGTAAAAAAAAGAAAAATGTTTTTGAAGCAATATACTTTTTTATGTTTCCTCTTTGTCGGTGAGAGAAATGGGGGAAAGGAAATAAGAAGTAATGTAGAAGCAGCTGTAAATTCTCTCATTTTTTTGTCACCTCCACGTAAGCTTACTCCAGGCAGTTGTGCACCTTAAACACTTGACACATCTGTATACTAATCATAGTGACATTTAATCCCGACACATGGCTAGCTTTGACTCATCTTAATATAACGGAATGCTTGTGTTACCAACTGACTTCACTGGTGTCATTTCCACAGTTCTTTTCTTTTCACTTCTTCTGATTCTCATTATGATTTATCCGTAACGATCCGTGTCCAGAGAAGAGCATCCCTTCAAATTCTGATCCATCGCCCCAAGGCATGTTCAAAGTGGCAACGCTCAAAGTAACACTAAGCCTGAGACGATGCCTTTGTGTACATGACAAAAAATCAGAACATTGCATGAAATAGTCTTAGTGCACCTGTTAAACTTGCCTTTATTTCTGTGTTCTTGGCATAAATCAGGCAGCACTGAAATTGCAATAATCTAATGTGAGCGGGTGGGTGGGTTGTATTTGCTGTCATAGACGACTTCTCAAAATCCAGAGGGTTGTTTGAAAAAGCAGAGTTGTGTTCTCTCTGCAGTAAGCATGAGAGGAAGAAGCCAAATGGCCCTGCTGCTGTTTGTACTGTATCACTGCTATTTCTTTTCCACAGAATGTACTGATTTCAGGTACCCCCCTCCCCATAATGTCAAAACCTGAGCAGGTGTGTGAGAGACGAGACCTCTCTGTGCCCTTTGTCCTTCGTTTGACCTTCAAAGCAATTGGAATCTATTTGTCAAAGACGAGTTACATGTAAGTCATGAAGTGTATAGACCTATCTTTGTATGTATACCAATAAAACCTGTGCTCTAATAAAACCATACTCTGAATCGGTAAAAATTAAAACATTTGTATTAATCCACAAATAAAATCAGTCATCACTCAAATATATTAATGTTTATTACATTTAAATACAAATTATGCAAATTAGGAGTCACTATTAATTATCACAGTGTATATACAAGTACACCAGTATCTAGATGTATTAAATACGTTGTACTGGGGAAGAGCAGCAGGTGTACTGTAGGTATGCTTGTTGTATTTTTATATGCATATATTTATTATATCAGACTGAAGAGTTGCCCCATGTAATATTAGCTGATTGAGTAGCCAGTGTTACTGTGGGAGGTGTGCTCAGTTTATGGATTACACACACAACAGGATCAACTAGCCTGGGCAGTTCACTACCTGCTGCTCAGGGAATAAAAGTATTTTGTCATCACAGTGATTATTTTGTTTTATAAAATAGTGCTCGTTTGTCGTATATGTGAGTTATTTTTCCACACATAGGTCCAAATAGTCTTTACAGTGCTTATTTTGGAGCTAATGAGAAACTGCGAATCTCCTGAAATTTGTGCTGTGAGAATGACTCGCAACACAAAGTTTTTCCATACTGTCGAATTGCACTTCTTCAGTTGTGTAAAATGACTTCTTAACAGTCTTCCTTTCTGAAAACACCAAAAGTCCACTTTCACATTACAAGATTGCGAACAGAGAAGTTTTGCTACAATGTGAATGTTCTTTTGTTTTTTATTTGTCACACACTGTTTGCTTTTACATAAGTGCCATGTCATGAAATCTGCTGGAACAGCGGGAAACAGTTGGTCCTTTAATCATGAATAATGTTTTGTTTGACCTGACACTCGTCTGCCGTTGCAATACATATTCTCAGTCATCTAATTAGATGCTTTGGTATTTTCATGTGGCTGTGATTGTTCTGATTCGTGGCAGATACTTAGCCTGCCTTACCATGTGCATTTGAAATGTTTGCTTCCCATTACTTTTATGAAACACATAGGGGGAGGGGGGTGGGGGGGTATTTTCCACTATGTTACAGCAGTCAACGAACTAAATAGGCAGCATAAACGTGACTGAAGAGAAAAAAAATGTGCAAAAATCTGTTTCCTTCATTGATTGATGGTCTTACATGTGTGTATGTCTTTGTTACCTTACATTAAAACTTGCTGCTATGACATTAAATAAACCTCCAAACTTGCTGATGCAAAACTTGACGTGGAATTGATGTGGACACACGCATACCTGCACACACCCACTGACACCACACACTGATTTCAACTACAAGATAAACGAGTGGTTTATTACCGTCTTTCTTCTCAGAGTTGAGCTGAAAAGCCAGAGCATTATCGTCACAAGGTAGCAGCAGCAGTAACAACTTCACATTCTCCATGCTGAAGCCTTCTAAGGTTGTGTAACAAATGTGGTGGTTGTAATTTGCATATAACAGTAACATACAATAAAGTATTTATGGATTATGTAAACATGGCCGAAACCTTCATTAAACATAGGGTTAGTCTTTGAGTGTACTGCGCTCCTCATGGGAATGAGCTGCAGGAGCCTTCATACTGACACTTTGCTGCAAGAAGGAATCGTTGCTGAAGGGCTCCAGACTGTATCCATACTGAGAAGTCATCCAAATGCTTTACATCTCCTTCTGTACACACAGTAACCAGAGTACCAACAACAACAAAAGATGTATACTGTATTCTTGGCTTTTTCTTAGAGCAACCAACTAAAGTTCTCCTATCCAAGCAGCATACGGTGCATCAAAAAAATTGGACAGATGTGAATAATTAATGTGAGTAAAAATAAAGGTTTGTGCATTTTTTTGCGGCACTCAAGTGCAGCCCTGTGCACGGTGAGAAAGAGCAGCAGTGATGCAGGATCTGTTCTAAAGACATCCATGTACACAGTGCGGCACAAAATCTGCACAATTCGATGTATATTTGAAGAATGTAAAGCTACATCTGCCAGTATGTATCTGTGAAAATATGAAATGTGGTTTTGTCTCATAAAATCTGTTCATCCCTTCATTTTGCTATTGTCTTTTTTCCCCCTCTGTAGGTGTGAACACATTTTTTATAGATCTTCACGGCGCATTAATATGTTCCCGATAATCTTTTCTGGAATTCTGACACAGATTTGATGATTGCTGTCAAAAATAAATCCTGGACCTCTTCTTGTTCTAAGATACTTGATACATATTGACTCTGTTTGATAAATTGCACTAAAACAATGCATCTTTTCTCTTATATATTATTAAAATGCAATTGTATTTTAAACCAAAACAAGACTACAGTAACGATTCAGCAGACACTGTTTCAGGTAGTCTAGTTTCACCAGAGAACATGCCCTCTGTGACATTATAGTCTAGGAATGAGGAGTGGTTAAATTAAATGGATCTTGACCTTTGCTCCACTCCTTCCTCTTTGGTCTGTACCTGGGTGATATACAGCCTGTGACAGGCAGCCTTCAGTCCTTGGACACACATTCATACTGAAGGAGGACATAATGGAAATACAAAATCTCTCTCTCTCTCATCTATCTATCTATCTATCTATCTATCTATCTATCTATCTATCTATCTATCTATCTATATATATATCTATAGATATATATAGATATATATATGCACTGGGGTCTCCTCTTTATTGTATGTTGTTGCTAACTAACAAAAATGGCTGTTGGACAGTTCCTGTGCATGGTATAAAGATGTGAGGAGGTGGTTTCAAATACATCTGCTGAAAGAGCCATACATTGATCATTTTAACCAACAGGGCTTTGGCCAGTCATGGCCCAGTATGGAGTTTATATAATCTGAATGTTGGACCTGAGGCCCCAAAAATTGAGACATGTTATATGTTTGATTATTTTTTGTTTACTTTTGAAATAAAAATGCATATTCGGTTATTTTTAAAACTCAATAAAGGATATTTCAAGATTTTTAAGCTTGTTTATCTGACTTTTTAAAATAATATTAGGCATAAGCTACTTTTTCTATGTGTTACCACAGCTCTGTAAACAATCCAGATGAAGTGTCTCTTACAATTATATATAATATTTTCTCAAAAGTGTTCTTCTAAAAAGGTGAACTCTACAATCCGGCGCTGACGGCTTCACGTCATCTAGTCCTTACCTATCACGGCTGGAGAGGGGGCGTGGCCTCGCTTTGCTAAGACAAACGCAGTTTAGCCAGCTAGCGAGTTAGCTTCCTGGAAATGGCCAGCTGGGGGAAAGTTACCGCTCTCCTGAGGGGTGTCTTGAGGAGTCCTCGATCTCTGAAAACCTTCGCACAGTACCGTACTGTCGGTCGCGGCATTGTGGCCTCTGTAATTGGCACCGGGGTTGTCTGTTATTACCGGTATCATGTAAACAACAGGACTCTGCCCTTCGCCGTTTATGCTAAGGAAGAAAAAGTAAGTGGACAAGTTTCTGTCGTCAAAATTCACCGCAAACGGACAGTACCGCTCATATACCTGTCTGTGTTCCTTTAAAGTGCGATGTTTCGTAATTACAAGTACAAGCGACACAATAATGTTAGTTGGATATCTACAAAAAGACCGTCCAAATTCATAGTGTCAATTAGTGCCCCCTAGCGGTGCTCACCGAAACTGTTTGTACTTATACACAGTGAATCTGTTCGTCTGACTTATTAGATATAATTTAATAAAATAAATTTTTAACTAACCACTCATTTGTCCATTTAATCATTAAACATATAAAGGGAGGTGCTGTCGAACATGTGTTCTGTAGCTTACATTGGTGTTTGTGCTCCTTGTGCTGTTGCAGGAAGATGCAGCTCCCCAGATGTCTGCAAGGAAAATCCGCTTCATCCAGTTTGCCTCAGTCATCCATGAAGAGGAGCCCTACATGACCCCCAGAGACTTCCTATTCTCTGTGATGCTGGAGAAAGTTGATCGTAAGCAGCTCATACAGCGTACAACATGTCAAACAGCTCAAAGCCTTCCATAATCTACATCCCTGTTCTTTCTTAACTAAATATGTATAGGATGTAATTTGCCAGGTCAAATGGTAGATTTCCCTTTGCTAAATACTTTTTCATCCCCACTATGTATCATGTATGTCAAAGAACAGTGCCCTTATTTTGTGAATCTTTCTAATGCGAATATAGTGAAATTTAAACTGCTCATGTTTAGTGTGTTTAACTAATAAAAAAAATGCTGTGTGTGTGGGGATGGGTGAGTGTGGCCTATGGTGTACAGTGCTTTCATGTGTCAGTAAGACTGGACTAGACCATCTGTATGTATCCAAACCCAGACAGACCTCCCAAACATTTCAGATCAGTGGCCGTGCAGCAGTACGAGAAGACTGAGTGCAGTTCTGACTGGGAAGAGGAACCTCCATGTTCCCACGAAGCAAAACAGAGTAGTTTGTTGTGTGCATGGAACAACTTCACGTGCGCGGCTTGCCTCGTGCCTGTTATTGAATAATTTTGTGCTGTTCTGTTATCAACACATCTTCTCTGGTTTTTGCAGGAAAGCTGCAAAAGAAAATTTTAACCAAACAGGTACATTAACTTCCTAGCAGTGTGTAACCTGCACATGCAGACTTTTCTTTAGGCTAATGGTTCGTTTTATCCCGTCAGGATGTGAACGGTATGCTGGTGGCTGCCTCTAAAGCTCGTGCTGGTAATGATCTCTTCAGAAACTTGGGAGACAAAGGTAAGTTCTCAAAGGGGACTGCAATGCCATACCTTTTAATTGTCAGGTGGATCATCTGTTTAAATCCTCCCCCCAATTTCTCTATTCACTATAACACCAGAATGATCACCAGCTCCTTTTATCATTTTTTAAAAGTGTTGTTGAGCAGTAGTTCTCCAGGTTTTTCAGAAGTCTTTCAAAGGTTTTCTTTGGACATTGGCTGCTTTTGTCAGTCATTTTCAGTCCAGGGCTCGTAGCTGATAATTTTTAGAGAAACGTTTTTACCCTCAGCTGTAAAAGAGTGATGGGGCATTGTCAGTGAGTTTGTGAATGCAATAACTCAAGAACAAGGCGTAGGATTTCAAAATTGATGCATCTATTAAAAACCTCAGGAGTTTTGGAGGATTTGTCACGTTTTGGGGCTGCATGTCAGCCGTGGTGTTCATTTCACTGACTGTTTTTCCTGATGACAACAGGACGATAACTAGATAAAAATGAATGCACAGTGATAAAATGTGTTGTCTATGATTAAAAATGAGATGTAAATGTTCTGGAGAGACGAGATCCAATCAGAAGTAATCCCAGGCATTAAGGTTACAATGTCTACAAACTCTGGCTTCATCTTATGTTCTGCATTTGCTTGCATGTTTGCACGTTTCAGTAAATGGCCTATTTCCCATTTTCCTTGCAAAATATAAAGAAAATGAGAGGTCCACTTTAACCTGTGGACCATCAACAATCCACCTTTTCATGTTTAATGATAGTCCTCTTTGTCAGTGTGTCCCCCTGTTTGTTATCTGAAATGCAGCACAGTGTATTTTATCTCTCACAGGTTTGATATCCTACACAGAGTATCTGTTCCTGCTGTCCATCCTGACCAGTAAGTCTCCAATAGTCCAAGCTCCTGCAGGAGATATTGTGCTGACTGGTTTACTCCATTCTGGACTGTTTATTTCTGATACTCTTTGTCTACATGACATAACTACATAACTGCCCTACATTGTTATTGCAGAGCCGCGCACTGGATTTGATATAGCCTTCAAAATGCTCGACATTGATGGCAACGAGCATGTGGACAAAAAGGAGTTTTTGAAAGTAAGAGCTGTGATGTGTTAGGACGTGTTGACAATAAAAGCAGAAGTAGATTATAACAGATCATAATGAAGCAGTAAATTCATGGGCGGACTTATTATACAGGAATATTTGTTCTAAATATCTGTGTGCACTTAATTTCAAACTGTCGCCACTTTTAACGCTTCCTCATGTGCTACAACTCCTGCAGTTGTAAGTATGAACCAAGGCACCACGTGAAGGTGAGGGAGAGCTGTAGCTGCTCGAGTCTTGTGTTTTATCTGTCGCTGCTTGAGTTTAGTGGATTTATATAAAGTCACCTGACATTTTTTTTTTTTCTTTGACTTTTCAACCAGACAGAGAAGATTTGTGTAGCGCTCAGGCTTAGAACAATGTTAGACTTGGGCTTTTGTTTTAGACTGCATGTTGGCACGTCCTTCACCTTGTTATAGTTTCATGTTATGACTTGGTGAACAAGCCAAAGGCATTTAGTGAAAAGTAGAAGTGCATGGATTCTCATCTGCTCTGGTTTCTATCATGTGATTACATGAAAGCCACATCTCTAACTTGATAAGTGAACTGTACCACAGCTTTATATTTGTTTGGACTTGTCTTGTGACTGTTGTAAAGAGAAACCCCTTTTCAAACATGCTGTTTTTTATTTGTTTGTTTTTTGTATTGTCTGTTTGATAATGTAGGATGTTGCTCACACTTGGACAGCCAAACATTTTCAGTACAACTAGTTATTTTTGATTAACTGGTTAACTTAAATTTAATTTATTTCTTCTTTTTGTTGCTGAAGCTCAAGAAAATCATGGGAAAAACTAAACTGCGAGCCCCGATAGATACTACAGAGGTGAGTGTTCATTGGTTGATGGGCTAGTTGAAAACATACAGGCTGATAACACTGGCCGAGGACCAGAAAGAATCATCTGTTTTCAAAAGTTTGCAGAAAATTTTAAAATACATGGTTGATTTTACACTTTTACATGCACAACTTATAATTTTCACAAGTGCTCAATGCGTTTCCCTCTGGATGCACGGCATATGTCCATTCAATATTCAAACACGTCAAATGTGTACAGCTATGTGATACTCACAAATCCTGTCTTTCCAACAGTACGTGCTTCCATTCTCACCAAAACACTATGAAATCAGATGACTCTTCTTGACACACTTTGTATATTACTCTAGTTCTACCTCAAATATTAGCATGTTTTGTTTTGGGGGTTTTCATCAGTATTATGGTGTCATTTCTGCCACTTCACTTTGAATGTTAACACACATGATGTTGTTGAACACTGTCTGCATGTTACCCAGAAAACCACAGAAGAAGGAGAAGGTGTGAACACAACACTACAGGCCTACTTCTTTGGAAGGAAAGGGGACAACAAGTTGCAGTATAAGGACTTCTGCCGGTAGGGATACCTCCTAATAATCACAGTCATATACTACAGAGCACATGACATTTTCTTTTTCATAAGTAGCAGCTCTGTATACAAATTTTACAATGTAACATTTCTGTCTTTTTGAAATCTCAGACATTGTGAATATTTGAATCTCACCTGTAAGGGATGTAGACACTCCCTAAATCCTTTGCATGTAGAAATACCGTTTGAACATGTCGTTAGGCAAAGGCAAGGAAAAGATCAGTAAAGCTCATATTAGGCTTGAACTGCTTTCTTAAAAAAAAAAAAGGAGAGAGAGAAACGTAAGTTCTCCGCGTGTTTCAGGAGCACACATTCTTTCTGCCCAATTTAACTCATCCAGCCAAAGGAGTGTTGAGCTCATACCATAGCGAGATAGTCGTCATCTTTCCATCTATTCGCAGTTCATAAGAATTTTTGCTTCTCCGATAGCTTTTGATCAGATTTTAGTGACACGTGCTAACAGTGATTACCTCATGGGTCTTCATTCAAACTGGGGTCAAGATCATATTTGTCATTTTCATAGTACAACTCTAATGCATACTACTTAAACTGACCAAATTCTAACTTCTGAACAATATTCAGTGGTTAACAGAAGATTCTTTATCCAGCTACCCATCTTCTTCCACTTATTAAGATTCTTCATGGTGATAAATCTTATGTGTTAACCTCCTAGGACCTGGTGTCCACATATGTGGACATCACATTTTGAGTTGTCTAAACCAGCGGTCCCCAACCTTTTTTGCACCATAAACCGGTTTAATGTTAGACAACATTTTCACAGACCGGCCTTTAAGGTGTCACGGATAAATACAACAAAATAAAATGATATGACTGAGACAAAAACGGTGGTATTTTGTAAATATAATAATAAACGTGAATTCACTGTGTAATTGTGTAACTTCATGAGCAGCGTCCTCCTGAAATGTGCCAATAACATCGAGAGTAACATCCTCATCTCTGCCCCTTAATGCTCTCTGGTCGCTATGGTGACGCGTAAATATTTCTTTCAAAATAAGACGCACAGCTCCAACATGGGAAAAGACCCAGGGAAACAAAGTTAACGATAAAAAACACTGAAAACCATAAATTGTCATGTTACTTCTGACTAACTCAGATACTTTTATATGGTTGTGAAATACAGCCAACCAAATGACCAAAAAAATCTATACTTCACACATTACAATCACCTGTGAATTTTGATTACCGTATTTCCCGGACTACAAAGCGCACCTGAATATTAGCCGCACAAGCTAAATTCAGGGGAAAATCCTGTTTTGTACATACATTAGCCGCACCTGACCAAAAGCCGCAGGTGTTTCAATGTTGACTTATCATATGTAAGAGAATATGCACAAAGGGAATTGTCAGGAAAGAGATGGCTGTTTGGAGACACACCCCTTTTATTAATATTTTGAAAAACAAGTTATGGGTACATATTTGCACAACTTTTTAGGTATATGTAAAAGTAGCGGTAATTACAAGTACGAAACATGTACTGTGCTTCATAAATGAGTAACAAATGTAGTACATAACAATAACCTACAGCACACCAGAAAAATAGATTCGGACTACCTTTTAGGCTCAGGTGCAGTGACACAGCTTTAACAAGAAGAAAAGTCAGTCATTCACCACCATCTTCTTCTTCCTGCGCACTAAAACCACCAAAGTCCTCTTCTCCAGTGTCGGAAACGAACAGGCTCAGGATGGCTTCGTCATCCACTCTCAGCTTCTTTCCTTCGTTGTCACTTTCAAAACCAAAGAAATCCTCGTTGTCAGTGTCAGAGTCGAACACCCTCAGAAGGGCCGTGGCGGTGTCCTCCTCTCCATCATGCAGCAGTCCAGCCCTTCGAAATCCGTTGGTGATCTGGATGTTTTCACACTTTTCCACGCTGTCAGATTCCACCGGTGGAGTTGAGCATAACTTGCTTTTCGCAAGTTTATTGCCGCTCGTCATCCACGCCTCCGGCTGAACGTGTAGCGCTACTTTGAAGTTTGTTTTTTGCGCTACTTGTACGGCACTATGTTGCCTGGCGGATGGACATGTGACCAACACACCACTCTTGAACCCCGATACTGTGTGTCTGATCACATGCCCTTCCGCCAGGCAACGTAGTGCCGTACAACAGCGGAACAAACAAAACAAATCGTCTTACGATATGACAAAAATCATGGATAATCCATAGAAAAGCCGCACATGACTAAAAGCCGCAGGGTTCAAAGCTTGTGCAAAAAGTAGCGGCTTATAGCCCGACAATTACGGTAATTATGAGCCAGATGTGCTACTAAGCCACTGATGTTCTGATATAAATCTGTGTATGTTGTGGGGTTTTCCCTGTTGACCTTTTCAGTTTCTCTTTACTTGACCGGTCCACTGTGACTCCACTGTAGTCTGTGCTTTGAGTGGTCCATAACTAGAAAGGTGCTGTGACAGGCCAGCCAATCCCTAATGGAATAAGGATGTAGCAATTATGATTACCTAACTTTATGTAGCTGTACTTGAGGCTGAGGATACCAGAAGACCTCACTGTGCTGAATTTGTCTTTACTTTATCACTCCACTGTTACTTTTTGTGGAATTTCACCTTTTTATATAGTTGTTTTCTTTTTCTTTTCTTTTTTTCCTTTCATTTGAATATAAAAATGTTGGACTTCACTGTGTGGTCTTCACCTGTGTCGCTGGCAAACCTCAGCAGGAGAACACTGGTGGGCCTCAAAGGATGAGATTTTGTGTAATTAGTCTTTGTTGTTCAGGTTCATGGAGGACCTACAGGCTGAAGTCCAGGAGATGGAGTTTCTGCAGTTTTCCAAAGGTATGGACACCATGCGGAGGGAAGACTTTGCAGAATGGCTGCTACACTACACCAACGAAGAAGACAATGAAGTCTACTGGGAAAACATGAGGAAGAAGATACCTGCGGGTCAGGTACAAGCACTCCTCCACTCGGTGTCGTCAGAATAGGATTTGTTGTGGCCTGAAAGTCAGCTGTCATGTTTTCTTTTGTAGAGTATCGCATTCGATGAGTTCAAAGCCTTCTGCCTGTTCACCAACAACCTGGAAGATTTTGCCTTCTCAATGAAAATGGTCACAGAAGCCAACCGTCCTGTGGGCATGGGTACGGTTTCTCTGTCGGTTAGATCAGTCTGTAGTTTTCTTCCAATCTTCCAGGCATAGATTTTTTTTTCTTCTCCCTACAGCCCAGTTCAAGCGAGCTGTGATGATTGCCACAGGCCACGAACTGTCCGAGAACGTGCTGGACACCGTGTTTAAGCTTTTCGACATAGATGGAGACAACTGCCTGAGCCACAAGGAGTTCATTGGTGTGATGAATGACCGAGTACTGCGGGGTCTAAAGGTACACTCCCCATCTTCTTAGACTGTTTTGTGTCCATAAAACACTGACGTTTCTACTTTGTCACCATGTTTAAGTGAAGTGAATGCCTCTCTCACCTCCATGTGTTAAATATAAAACTGTAAAAGCCTGATGTGTGGGTACAGATATAAGACACTTATCAAAGATCGTCAGTGCTCCTCTAACTGTAGTGTAGATCACACTGAAGTACACAAACACTAAAGCACATCGTTAACTCATGTCATCCATGTGCAACATTGTCTATCACTACGTTTAAAAGAACTACTTACTTACACAAGTTTATTTAAAAAGGGCACATGAACATATTAGACTGGACTGTTAGCTTTTGGTTGCCAAGGTCCATCCATCTCAGGGTCTGTTCCAGTTGTTCATTTTGGAGTGAAGTGACGCTGGCGTATCTGTGCAGCCATAAGAAGAAGTGTTTGAATTCTCTGAATACTAACCAAGGCGCTTCAGTGCTTACTTGCCGTCCCAGAATTTATAGCGACAAATCATCCGACCATTCCTGGAAACGATCAACTAAAACAATAGTGGCATACATCTGCAAATGTTCATTAGAAGCATAACCTGCTAAAATGTTTTGAATTTTCAGCAGCAGTCTGTTAACTCCACTGTCGAACTCTGAACGTCGCGCTGCTGTAAGAAAATCTGATTCTCGTCCAGTTGCTGCCTCGCATGAAAAACGTAGATTTACAAGCTTTCTGAATCCAGATGATGAGCTATGTTACTGATCTAATTACGTTCAGGCTTCTGTAAAATTCAGTTAGTAAGCTTCATTTTCTATTGCTGTTTTAAGGATCATCATTAATCATTTTTTTACTTTTATTGAGCTGGCCATAAATCTACTGAATAAAGCATCGTGTGAAATGGTGCTTAAGTCCATTAACTGCAGGCTCTGCTTTCAAAATATTCTGGCTTCACTGTTGTACAGACAGCCGAGGAGACGGTGGAGCATTCCAGCTCTTCTGGCCAGCCTAGGTCAACTTTTATTTTTAGCAGACATGAGTGTGTCTCATTTAACTAAGAGTTGTATTTATTTCCCTTACATGAACTGATTCTTATAATGAATAGCACTCTATACAACATGTCACATTTACACAAGCACTGTCTTCTATGCTTTTAAGTGCTTACTAACTACCATTCACACACCGATGGATGCCCAAGGATATTCGGCACACAGACTGGGGGAGCCAGGGATCGAACCTCCAACCTCCCGATCAGTAGAGGACCTGCTCTATCTCCTGAGCTACATCCACCCCTTAATTAGCTAACCAAAGCGAGTTAAAGTAGTGGGCACACTGCTCAACGTGTCATGTATTTACATCCTAATTGGTGTCCCTGGGATTACATGTACTGTAGAAACAACTGCCATCATTTGACTTTAATCATGGCAAAAATACAAATTGTTTATTAGCAATAGATATTTTACATATCACTCCTAGGCTGCATGCTAATGCTCGTCTCCCAGAACCGTTGGTGTGATGCACAGTGTCTTGCCCTCAGGTGCAGCCTCAAAATGGCATCTCTGGCTACTGGAAGTGTGTGAAGCGGGAGACCCTGAAGGCAGCCCAGGAGGCCCTGGTAGACGGCGGGTGTCCCATCTGAAGCACTGATATGCACCGTGATCATGCTCACCACTTCTGTCTTTTCTTCAGTTGTATGAATGAAATGAATAACTGCATGTAAATGAATATAGGTTTATACCACTGTCTTTGTAAAAGTATGTTTACAGCTAAACACATTTTGGTTTGATATTAGTTAAAGCTCTTTGGGTTTGCTTGTGGTGTTTACAATATTACATATAATTGTTTGGTCAAGCATTTTATCCTGTATGGCTGATCACTATTAAACATTCACATGCACTTAAGGAGCAGGACTGCAGTCAACATTTCCTGTAAAAGTGACTTATTCATGAAAGTGAGAATCCTGGTTGCACTGAACAGTGTAACAGATTAGAGGATCCTGCCATGAATACACACATTTCACATTTCAAATTTTTACCAGTGCCAAGAAGCTGGCTTGGTTTTTACATATACTTTTTTTTTTACTCCTGAGCATTAATGTGGTTACCAGAGATCAGTCATGTGAGTCAATAGTGGGTAAACAGCAGTCTGGCATAAATCACTTCCTAAATGACAGACATGTGTAATCTGTCTAATGTCACATTCTCAACATGCTAAATAGCAGCAACTATTTATTTGTTGTGACTGCTCATGCTGTTGTTTACCGGCGACTCACCAAAGCATTTTACAGCTGAGTGCGCACATCTCGAAATGAATGTCGGGCCTCCCACTTTCAACAGTAACAGAGCAGCTGCTATTTACTTAAATTCTGGAGTAACCAGCGGGGTGTACTGTGAAGTTAATGGTTTAGCTATGTTGAAACTCCGTTTTGTGTCACATAAATGGCTTTTTTACCTGGCTAAATCAGCAAGGTGTTTGGAGTTTCCATATGAAATGGGTTGGAAGCCAATATTACAGTATGTATTAAGCACAATATAGAACGTCTGCTGGAAAATGTTTTATATACGCAAATTGTTGTACCTAACTAAAACCACTCAATGAAGCATAAACTATGCATTCCATTGTCATGGGAATGCGCATGTATTAATTTGGAGATTCAGAAAACATGTTTTGTTTACGGTATATACTTCACTACTTTGATATTAAAATGTATACACTTTAAAGCTCCAGCTGTCACCTTAGAAACGAACAGCACCAAAGAGCACACTTGGCAATTACAATTATTAGCTTAAATGGAAATGTTTTACCGCATCTATGCACTGAATTACCAGCAGTGTTTTAGTTTTTATATTCTTTATAGATTTTAAACAACCACTGTATTATTGGCTGATAATGTCTCTGTCACTCAGCGATCATTTTGTGGGGAAGAACAATCACATGGTACGTAAAACACCCCCTTTTCTATGTGTGTGCCCACAGACCCTGAAGCAGAAAGCACAGCCCAACAGATAATACCACCATTGTGGTACCCAAAAGCCTGGACGTGTTGAATTTTATTTGTAGTACACCCCTCAGGCTGTTCATACTACTGCAGCCAGGTCACCTAAGTGCATGTAAATACACATTGTTCAGTGTGTTTACAACCCTGCTAATAGTGGTTTGTGGAAAAGATTCTAATCATGCCAGGGAGCTGGTGTGGGATTTCCATATTTTTCTGTCAAAAATATTTATCTAATAAAATTTTATATAAATGCACAACTGAGGCTTCCAAGGGTCATAGGTAGAAAAGCGGCAAAGTGACTAAGTTTTAACTACATTGTCATTTATTGTAGAATTGACCTGTTAGGATCACATGAGTATGTGGGTTAACCATTGAAGATTGTGATGCTAATAATTTTACCATACATAGAATTTAAAAAGTAAATAGACAAAACAAGCTTACTTGCATTTGCATGATAGAAGAACTAATTAGTGACTGATGCCAGGGTTATCAGTGAATACAGCATACACAGCTACAATACAATAAAATTACATTGAGCATGAAGCCATCTTTGGTCTTCTCATCACTATAAACAAATACATAGAAATTTGTATTGTATCAAAAATAGAAATTACATAGCCATATTGAAAGAAAATTCACATTTTTGACACACAATATAAAGAGAATAACAAGTGATGTATTGTAAGGTTTACATTTTTCTCCCCTTGGCTTTAAGGACCCAATGGTTTTAACATTTTTTGAACATTCGTTTTTAAAGAATTGCATCATTCTGTCAAACCATGTAAAAAGTATCCTGCATCTGTGTCAGACAAGATGCAAAAACCAACAACAAAAAAAGATCAGATTGTCATTGTTAGGGGGGGGGAAAAAAAAAAAAAAAAAAAAGTGTGTGCTTTTAATCCTGGGCTTTTTGAAATGAGGCCTCTACCACACTAGGAAAAAAAATAAATAGATTTTTTTTGGGGGGGGTTTTGTTTTTTTAAAAGGATGGAGAGAGATTGGGTCAAGACTTGATTCGATCACGATGCAGCCCCGATGCTCAGACGTTTCCCTCCTCTCGTGAGTGAGTCTTGTCTCGAGTTACCGGTCTTTGTGTAGTGGTCCTCCTGGGCTTCAGAGTTATTTGGCTCTTGGAGGCACACATGATGAACTACAGCCAAAGTGGACCTCTGCTTGACATTATAGGTAAGTGCTTTCACTGTGTTTTAATCCACTGTGGAAAAAGAAGAAAGCCATGTAAGAATATCAAACAGCAGAGTGACACACGGATTCTTTGTCCCACAGCTCAGACCTGATATTGAGATGCATCTAATACATACAGGTAACTCCACATTCAAAAATATTCTCCTCACACAGTAACATCAAGAAGATATCTGATATCATTCTAAAAGAGAACAAAGAGGCTAAAAACATTACAAGGCTCATGTAGATGAATTTTTAAGAAACACAAAGTTGTGCCACAGATGGTGTGCCCCCACAGAGCCCTGCTCACAGCATCATGAGATTACATGAAATCTCCAACGAGATATCAGGTTGTCTAATGCCTAACATACACTAACACTGAAATCTGGTGCCTTCTAACATCTAAAGACAACTTATCAGAAGTCAAAAGTTTTAGTCATGTATTATTCCATCACTTTTGATTCTGTCTGAGCTCTGGCCAAGTCATATGAGCACCTGATGATGGGAGTGTGCCACAACTTCAGCAAAACTATCAAGTCGTCATAAGGAGATTTCAGCCATTTCTAACACTGAAATCACTAGTGTAGCAGTTTACACATTTGCTTAGTTCAATTCCAGCCAGAGACTAATACATTTTCGGGTTGCATGTGGCGTAGTGACCCCTCGTGACAAGGAAGAGTTGAAAGTAACTCAACAGTGTCACTGAAATCATCAGAGAAATTGGCTGGGCAAAGCTAGCACCTACAAATTATTTTTTTTTCCCAAATTGGTCAAAAAAACAAAACAAAAACCTTGTCTGACATCTACCACCAAAGATATTCTAATTTCTAGAATAGTGTTGAAGAAATATTAACACACAAATTGTTTAACAAATGTTTATATACAACATTTGTTAAACAATTTGGGCTGCAGTTACCCTATTTAATAAAAGCACATGTGAAACCATATGCCTGCACTTGTCTGCCATTTTTATTTATTTTTAACTGCTTTTGATAGTTGCTTTAACACTCGCTGATAAAGTTCTGCTATAAAACAAAGAGGCCTGCTCCTCTCAGGTTTTTCTCACCATTCACTGCCAAAAGGATGGAGGGTCAAGGGTCGTTCTCCTTCTTTACTGTCACATCTCCTTCTCCAGCTAGGATGGTTGAGATCTCACCCTGCATGAAGGCCCAAGGCACAGTGGATCCGGCCAGGGGGCAGCGTTCTCCGCTGGGGCAGTAAACCTCTCCTCCTTGACCTTGGCTGCGGATGAACCCTCGGGTGCAGGGGAAGCAGAACTTGTGGTGCGGGACTGAGGGACACTGGACAAAGTGAGTGTCCTCCAGGCGCTCTCTGCAGAGGGTGCAGCAAAGCAGGGTGCCTGGGGTGCTACTTGTAGACTCCCCAGTGTTTGTGTTGTTACTTTGTCCTCCAGTGCTCAGACCCTGCCCTACAGCTGCCTGAGAGACTGAGGTGGAGGGAGTCGAGGGGCTGCTGCTGGTGGGGCGCCCAGCTGAGGAGGAGTGGGCTGTGGACATACTGGGGCTCTCTCTGGCCATGTGACTGGAACTCAGGCCATCTGCCACTCCCATAAGTGCTGAGATGGGTGAAGGCTGGTTGTGTAGACGAGGTGGGCCCTCTTGAGGTACAGCCATGCCAGGAAGAGGTTCCATGCCTGAGTACGTGCCCCGGGGCCAGGGCTCCCTCACAGGGTGTTCGGCCCTTCCCTCACTCTCTCCGTTCTCAGAGCCTGGAGAAGCCTTTCGGCGCCTGGTGGTGCCCTTGGCTGGTCCGGGGCGTCCAGGAGCTGCCAAAGACAGCACTGGGTCTGGCTGTGGCAGAACCTCTGGGATTGGAGGCTCTTTAAACATACGCACACCATCATTCAACAGCTCAGACAGCCCACGCCAGTCTCCGGTGCCTTGCCGTTTCTCATATTCCACATAGCGCAGCCCAGAGTTTACTGCCTTACCAGCATCTTTGGCGGAGTCACGGAACATCTGCCTGACCAGATCTGGAACTCCTGAGTAGATCATTCCAGAGCCAGAGGGATACTCCGCGAACACCCTCAGCTCAAACTCTGGAGTAGCGCTAGCATCAAAGGCCAGAACACGCCCCATCAGATTATGGTCTTTCCTGAAGCGCACATTGAAGGGGACACAGCTGCTGAGAGCTACCAGCACATCCCGAACTGCTTTGGGACGGTTAGGCCAGCCTTCCACTCTACTACGAGCCACCTCATTCAGTTCAGCCATTACTTCACTGTTCCTCCACACTGCCGGATCTATGCCCACTAGAGTAGAAGTGCTAGGTCCCATACCCAGGGACACAGCCTGTCTTCTGCCACTGTCGCTTATTATGGAGCCAGCTGAGACGGCAATAGGAGCGGCCCCAGCTCTCGTGCTTGTTAATGGGGTTAAAATCCCATGAGAAGCTGTTGCTACTAGCCCCTGAGCTATCAAGGCATGGGGTATGGTGTTATGAAGACTAGAAACTACCCCAGGCATAGCCCGACGAGTGTTCGGGCTCTGTCGGCTGCCCTCTGACAAAGCTACATCTTCAGCTCTGTGCAGACCATTGGGGAGGCGAGAAGAAGCCCCGTACTCACCCCTCCCCCGGTCTACACGCTCTCCGTGATGCCGCCCCGCTTCAAGGGGCCCAGCAGAGCTGGGTTTGCCCTGCTGTGGACCAGGGGACCTGCCGTCTAAAACTCCGTGAGTGCTCTTCAGCTGCCTGGCAGTTTCAATGAGGAGTTCTATCCGGTCTGCGCCGTCGTAGTTGACACAACCCCGGCATACAGCTTCGCTGAACTCCCACAGCATAGCCCAAGGCATCTTGGGCAGGTCGCAGAGGTAGCACCATTGCCGTCTCGAGGAAGACTGCGAGGCGGAGGACATGTTGTTTACAGGCCCTCGACCAAACTTTCTTCGGAGGCCTACACGTTACGGACTACGTTTTGCAGCGATTCTTCAGTCCTCCGACACCATTCGCCACATACCGCGGATTTTACAACAGAAAATAACAAAAAACTAAGTTCAAAATCCGACTACTGGCGGTAACATTCAAAACTTAACGACGTCTTCTTTCTCGTTTGTTCGTGTCAGCCTGTGTGGAAGGAAGTAAAATGTTATAAGACACCGGAAACACCTACGCGGCCAGGGCTCAGAGCACTATGGGAGACGTAGTTTCTCTTTAAAGCCATTGTTTCTTATTTTCTAGATTTTTAATATTAAATTTCTTTTGAGCAACAAAGTAATCAGACCACATAGAAACGGAACAGTTGTAAACAATTAGTAAAGGGAAAAATTCAGAGGGACTACTTTACTGGCGACAAGATACATAAGTAGCGGAGATACTGACGCTAGTCGGACGCGTTTTTCTGTGAAACCTCAGTTTAACTGTAGCTGGTTTGTTTTGGGATGGGAGACAGAAAACACGGCTTATGTTGCGGTTACTTTGATTAACAGAGGACAGGCAGTCTTGGTGCTGTAATGCTGGAGACATATGAGAAATATTATATGTATATACTCCACTTCCTGCACAGACGTGACAGTTTCAAACTCGGCTTCACTGGGATGATGAGAGGTCACATAGTGAAAATCTCCAGTGGGAACGATGTACTTTGCATTAAGATTCGTCTCTCTCACAGTGGTAACGGGGAAACTGATTCTTCTACAACATATATTTTATTTATTTATTTTTAATAGGAGAATAACTCTGGAGAATAATTTTATAAGGACAATAAAAATAGGTTTGCATCGAACAAATCGCAGGGTATATTTTTCTATACCTATTTCTTGAGATGTATAAAAAGTTACAATAATGAATGTTCATATTATCTATGCTCAAAGTTCAAAAATGATGTCAGTAAATAATCCTTGTGAGCTGAAAGCTGATTGTTTTTTCTGTTGTCAGTGAGAGTGGATATTCATATGGTCTCAGGTACACAGCTCTGAGTAGCAACTTTGCCCACCTGCAGGGCAGTTAGGACAGGCAGTAAGAAAGATGCAGTAGGTTCCTTCAACCTAGCTGTCTGAGGGAACATTACAGGAAGTCATTCCTTCCCACTGCTATCACTCTTTAATCATCCACTTGGGTCAGGTCCACACACACAGAACAGGATTAATCCAATTTATACCCATATCTCTTCATTTTATACAAGTGCTTGTATATTTGATGTTATGACAACTATCCCCTCCCTACAATCCCCAGCCAGCTGAAGCAGATCTCTTCCTGCCAGGTGTTTCTTCCTGTTAAAAGGGATTTCTTCCTTCCCAATATCATCAAGTGCTTGGCTACAAGAAATAGTCTGATTGTTGTAGTTTTCTCTATAATATTGTAGGGTATTTGACTTAGAGTCATCTCAAGGTGCTTTACACTGTAAGTTTGAACTGGAGCAATATGAATAAAACTGATTTGAGAGAATGCATTTTATTTTCAAGAATGGATTTGAAGAAATAATACAACACAATCTCTGATTATGTGACACTGGTTAAATTATTAGCAACATTATGGTTACTGTTGGCTTTATTTAATAACCAAAAGACAGAAGGTGGCGGGCGATCAAACGTAGTGTTGTGAACATACAAAATAAACAACAAGTTGAAGAACATGGTAAAAGTAAAATAAATTATTTTAAAAAAAATTATAATTTAAGTAACATTTTCTAAAGCACGTTAATCCTAATTATTGTCAACACAGCTTTAATGGTACGTGAAACAGAGCTGCAGTATGCTCTATCCAAAGACAGAAAACATTACAAATGGTTTCAAGGAAGATTTAGTTGGCATGGTGTGTAGTCGAGAAACACAGCTTCAGTGTATAAGGGTAAGGCCCACCTAGAATATAGAAGCCGGAAGAAAACTTTCATCATAAAATGTAGAAAATGTCATTAAGGGTTCAAATGTACAACATACCAAGAACCACGTTGGCTTGTTGATCTACATGTTAAATACTTACTAGGGTTTTTCATCTGATAATGGTTCATCATAGCTAGTGCTTCCATGGCATCATTGATGGATTCCCACTCAAGCAGGCCAGATGAACTGCGCTCACCTGTCAAATCACATGACATTACCATGCTGAATAACACTTCTGTATTAAAAAGCAGTTAGTACACAACAGCACAACCAAATAATGAGATAATAACTTTAGTGACAACAAGTGTGGGGCGATCGTGGCTCAAGAGTTGGGAGTTCGTCTTGTAATCGGAAGGTTGCCGGTTCGAGCCCTGGTTCCGACAGTCTCGGTCGTTGTGTCCTTGGGCAAGACACTTCACCCGTTGCCTACTGGTGGTGGTCAGAGGGCCCAGTGGCGCCAGTGTCCGGCAGCCTCGCCTCTGTCAGTGCGCCCCAGGGCGGCTGTGGCTACACTGTAGCTTGCTATCACCAGTGTGTGAATGAGTGGATGATTGTGTATAGTGTAAAGCGCTTTGGGGTACTTAGGACCAAGTAAAGCGCTATACAAATACAGACCATTTACAACATATTACTCACTCTTTCCAGTGAAAAGTTTCACACTTGTGGGCCTCTTGATTCCAAGTTCATCACAGACCTGAGCACAGAAACGCGTTTCAGTGAAAATGTGAGATGGATGCAGTGTTGCCAACTCCTCAGCAAGGAAAATCGCTATTGGCTGTCCTAAGAGTCACTATAAGTCGCTAAATGATATTTTTGCATAATTGGTCCTACCGATGTAATTGTAACAGACACTGTAGGAGAGAGAAATAACATTGTGGAAGAGACATAAAGTGAGTTAAAAAAAAAAACCTAAAAAAATTATTCCAACCCTCCTCCTTTATCTGGATTTTGGACCTGCAAAAGTGACCCGAAATAGGCACTCTGGTGGAGTTACTGTTTTGGTGTGTGTGTCTTTTTAACTAGTTTTAAACCTTCTGATCCACAAAAAGTAACAGTAAAAGAACATTTTTATAGGGGAATATCTCCTACTCTGACATCAGCTCGGGGCAACTGCTGCGTGAGGACTACCTGCCGCTTGTGAGCATTTTCACACGGGCGAGGTGCCCACGGCAGCACCCGCTGCTTGTTGAGAGTAAGAGTGATACGTGCTTTCACGTGAAAAAGTCGTCATAAGTCTCCAATAACACCAGAAAAAGTCGCTAGATTTGTCGCCTGTCGCTTTTTAGAAAAAAGTCGCTAAGGGGTCTGAAAACTCGCTAAGTTGGCAACACTGGATGGATGCTTTTGGCCATCACAGATAGCAACCTTTGTTGCTTTTTTTTTTTTTTTTTTTACCTGATTAAAGATCTCAGCAGAGATGTCGGGTTGTGCATTAAAGAAGTGTAAGACGTTGCTCGGATGCTGGATTCGGTTTTTAGCCGCCTGCTCTGGTGAGGTGAAGCGGTTGTTGCGTGATCCATGGAAATCTTTAAAGCTGCTTGTGTTGTCCTCTAACTGGTAGCACTGTCCGGGCACTATAGCCTGTTGCTTGGACACACTGAAAGAAATAAGGCCAGAGGTCTTGCATCTGTTGTTTATTTTTAAGGGAGAAATTTATCTCTAAAAGTCTGTGCTGATGTTTCTAAATTGTTTTAGAGAGCTGTTCTTACCAAACATTGAGTTTCTGTCCAAAAAGGAAGTTATTGTTCAGATGAGTAATGGCCCTGTCCACAGAGTAACAGTCTCCCATCTCCACCATTGCTGCTCCAGGTTTACTCTTCATGAACTTGACCTGAAAGAAAAATAGACCAAAACAATATTACCCAGCAGTACACACAGTATTTAAACATGAACTTTTTATGATGACTTTTGTGCCGACACCTCCTTTCAAAACAAACGAAAAAGACCTTCAGATTGTCTGAAGGATGGACTTGTCTTTCTCCCACTTCCGGCATCAACAGTAAGTTACACCATCACATAGTAGCTCAGAAATGGAGCCCACTAACATCAACAACCAACAGGCTTTTTTTTTTTGCTATTGTTAGCAATGTTAGCAATCAAGCACAAAAAGACTAGTCAGCTGGCTGGCTTTGGATAACAAGCGATCTGTCCCTCTTAGCAGGTAAGGTGTTACCTACCATCAGAGAAATGAAAGCTTTATCCAAAAAAGATCATCTGAGGAAACTGGAATTTGACCCTCAGTGGAAAAAACAAAACACTGGCAGCATTCAGTGCTACCCCTTGGCCTCCTAGCAGATACAGCTAGAAGGATATATCAGTTTATATATCAGTTTCAAAATTCTGCATCGCCTTGTTCTCAAGTGATCATATTCAAGAAATGTTTCAAGATTAATACACGACCAAAATAGCTGACAAGTTAGTATCGCGTGCTAAGCTTTCACGTGTCTGCAAATCTTCTTTGCGCCCCTTTCAGTTGTTGGAAAGATGGCAAAATATTATAAATGTCCTTCACTTATGGGGTCTAACAGCAAAACAATGACTTGATGCTTCAGTCAGCTTTCACTTACCCTCTCTACATTGCCATACAGGCAAAAGATGTTGAAGACCTTGTCAGCATTGATCTTAGAGGGCTCCAGGCCATATACCATAAGAACTGGAGAGTCAGCGTGAGGACCGTACTCGGGCGGTGGCGGTCCATATCCAGGACCGTAGCGCTGGTTACCCCGACCACGCCCACCCATGCCTTGCCCCATGCGATGGGGAGGAGGGGGGCCATAGCTGTCATCGTTGTAGCCATGATACCCTCCCTGTGGTCCACCTTAAGATGGGGAAAAAAAACCAAAAACAAACAAGCAAAACAAAAAAAACCATAATTGTAACAGATTTTGAGCAGTGTCCGTTTTTCTACATGTCACACTAATTTGATTATGCGATGTTTACCATAATCAGGTGGGTGATCGCCCAGAAGAGCAGGCTGCCTCTGCCGTTTGTTAGGATTGGCATTGGGATCTATAATAGATTTAAAAAAAAAAAAAAGTTGCCCATCAAACAGCTTCTTTACCACGTGTCTCAAAGGTACCTTGCATGGGCTACAACATGCTAAGGGACATGTTTGTGAATGGCATGCAACTGAAGGGCCTGAAATCTTTAAAAAGTGTTCAAACAGTCAGCAGGTTTTACAGGTGACATAATGGAGATTTTCTTTTTCCACAGTGACTTTGAAAGATAGCGTTCAAATTTTAAAGTCTTACATCTGCCATTCTATTACAAGCGCACACACCTTGTGAATTGTTCCAATTGCCTTCACCATCAGCATCTGTGCAGGTACACATGACACACGTCAAATCCAATAAAACATCATGAAAAAAAAAGTAGCAATCTGGCAACACTGTATAAACACATTTCATCACATGCTCAGTTGTTTGGAATAGAGACATTAAAACAGAAAATCAAAGAGTAAAATACGCAATGTGCTAAGAGCAGCACCTGCTGTTTTATTGAAAACTATTTCAATATCAGTATACATTTATTACAAGCCAGGACACAGATATAACATGAGTGAAAAAACATCAAGCACTGAAACTAATAACATGGTGAAAAATTAAACCAGCGACGTCGGCTGATTTAACTTCAACAAAAAGTACGAACATATTTATTTTTGTTCAAAGAAGGCTTTCCTTCAGCTCAGTTCACCAAAACTCAGTAAATTAAACTCTTAAACCAGTATCTGTTTAGCAGGCACCTTCTCTGTAAGGTTAGGGTAGAACTTCTTTACTCCCTATGCAATCACTTATCTAAACCATCAAGTTCTCAGTAATAATTTTGTCACTATGTGCACATCATCCGTGGTAAACAATCATTTCCGCCACCTGTTTGTTTATTTACAGGCTGCAAATGAAGGTCTTCATGTGGAACCTCTATGTAAAATGCTTTCAATGGTGCATTTAAACCTAAACATCAGAACATCTGGCACGGCACTCAAGCACACCCATAATCCTAGTGTCATGGACAGTTTCACAATCACAGTGTTGGCCATGTTGGACAGCTACATTGGCCTGACAGAAATATTAAAACTAGCAATGCGAGTTGAGAAATCTGGAAGGAGTCACCAGATGTCAAGTCTTATTTTCCAAAAATATAAGCATCAATATCTCTCGCTCTCTATTTGATTTAAAAAAAGAAAGAAAAGAAAAACTTGGTTCCATTACATCCTTACAAACCATCTCCCATGTTGTTGTGTCATTATGCATGATAACCAAATTTCACATATATATAAAAAAAAAAAATTAAAAAAAAGAAGTTAAAGATCTGCCTTGTGACTCACATTTGAAATTTTTATCTCATACTACAGTCTAAAATGCTTTGAAATCGACTGGACTTTGTGAAGTTTTGTGAAAACTTTTAATCTCTCATCTAAAAAACAACTCTACACACACAGGTCAAGATCAAATATTCTTTACAACTGCTCAGTTCATGTGTTGTACTGCAGCAACCTATAATTGTACTCTTTAAAATGAATTACGTGACTATTACATAAAAGACATCTCCATCTCCCAATTTAAATCAACAGTACGCGATTTCTCCCCACAATACTTTTGAACTGTTAACCATGAAGTTAGATTATTCATTTATTTCAGTACTTACAGCACCATACATGGAGCATGGGACACAGTGAGAAGAAAGGGGGCAGTCTTCAGCAAGGATGCTACTCGCCAATCTCTGACTCCAGCCTCAACTCATTCTCCCTCTTCTTGTCTTTTCTTTCTTCTTTCCTTCCATCCTTGCATCTCCACCACCAGAGAGAAAAGTACTTCCATGCGTCCATGTTGGGTTTTGACTTGCTGCCGCTCTGTTTTTGGAAATTGTGCTATTAGAGGCTCATTTCCAGCTTACCGTGCTCTGACCATAAAGCAGGACATATGCACCGATTGAGTGGGCTGTCAGTCCACAGACACACTGAGCCAAACCTGCATCACACGGGAGGCGTTAAAGGCATCACTATGGTCCAGTGCAAAAAAAAAAAACAAAAAAAAAAAAAGAAAAAAAGGAAAAATGAAAACAATGCAGAAACAACACAAGAATAGCACAAAGAGGAGAAGGGGAATGGGAAGGAAGGTACAGGGGAAAAAAACAAAAAAAAAAAACGAAAAAAAAACAAAACAGAACACCAGAGTCCATAAATGCAGAAAGCTTTGGGAAAGATCTGTAATCTGTTTGCCTCTGTGCTTGTATGCTTGATAGGTGTCTGATGCTTGTGTCTTCATGGACCCCCCATGGATATTTCTTCTTGTGTAAAAATGGCACTCACTTGATGTCGTTTATTTGGTTTAATAGCTGTCAGCCACTTGCAAAGCTTGACAATAAGTCACTAGAAATATGATGTGCTGTCATAGCAGTTCAGCTGTATGTTGCCTTGGATATTCGGATCGCTGTGTTGTCATGTGGTGTTCGGCACAGGAAGGTAGAGATGAGGAGTATTAGCATGGCCTCTTTTTTGTATACCGCCCCCATATGTGGTGTCATCTGTTCCCTGGTCAGGCTGAGTGTGTCTGAAAACTCCTTTGTTGCTTCCTGTGGTTGTGTTAGGGTAAGCACATCCCAACAGTTGGGAGGTGTGGTCGCTATGGCCACACAGCTGACCCCCACCCTCATCATCAATGTGTTGTGTCAAAGTGGGGACTCCTCGGAGCTCTGCAGATGGCATGTACTGTAGTGGTAAAGTGATGGTAGTAGATGCTTATCAATCTACAACATCAGTCTGTAGTGGATATGCGGGGTGTCTGTTCGCATGGCCTTCGAGTATTTCTGTCCCTCAATCTGAAAATGGTGGCTACTGCCCACCATCAAAAATGAAATGGATTCCCATGTCAGGTGGTGGTGATGAGCTTGGAATAAGGGAGTACCGAGTTGAGGTTGTGTTCCAGTATTTGATGCCCCACTGTGTCCGACGTACAGTATGCCATAAAGCAGATTTACATTAGTTGTGGTTGCTGTTATGCTGTAGAAGCCGTTGTGTCTGCTTAGAGGTTGAGGTAAGCCTGTATGATTCTGCACCGTGAGGACACAAGGAGTACCTCTAGGTCGTAAGGCAGTGCAAGCTATGCAATATCAAAAACTTTCTTACGAGGACATGATGTCAAAAACCTGTATGAAACTTGCAACGTACATGTTGTGGTTCTGGCTGTGTGTCAGACAAGTAACTACACCTTTTACAGTGTCTAGTGAAAAATATAAATTCTCCATCAGACAACTGCACCAAAGTAAAGCATGTGCCTGTGATCAGGTTTAAAAAAAACAAACAACAAATGAACAAACAGCAGCAGTAGGGTCTTTGTGATCAAGGTGAATTGTCTTTTTCCAGCTACCGTGACATCTGAACAGCCAAGAGTATTAAACTGGTCACAGACTTGGCAGTGCAGCAACACTCATGTTTAAGCATAAAAATCTTATATAATTACCCTAAAAGGTAGCCATTTTCATTCTACACCAATTTTGCTAGAGCTGGTCCTAACATATCGTCAATACTCAAGGTACGCAAAACACATTAGGAACACTGAACTTTGGAGCTTTACTATTAATTTAATTTATTTCATGAAATGCTAATTATCTTGGGTTCCACCAAGATTATAACACATGAAATCTGCATTTAACCCATCTTTAAGCTCACATCACTTTCCATATTGTTAACTTTCACTTTGTTTTTTTTGTTAAAAGTGATCATATACTTGACACGTGTGAAAACCATTCATCGAAAATTAATTAAAAAATTAAGTCTCACACTATGACACTAGGACTGTTCAATATCACGATATGAAAACGTCTATCGTTTCATTTTACGCTATCGTTTGTTTCGTGGTGTCACAAAATAAACTGTTTATGGCAATATCTTTTCATCGTTTTGATGGTCACTGTAGAACTTCTTAAAGTTCTCTCTTTCTCTACGCTACGGACGGACATGCGACTGTTTTTATACGTTGTCGTTAGCAGCAACAACAACGGTAAAACCATCGCATGGCTCTGCCGTCCGCTTGCTTATTTTCTACATAAACCTTTCTCAATAAAGCTGAAGATCCTGTTGAGATTTTTCAAAATACAGTGAATCACGTGAAATAGTATGCAGAGTGTTTACGGATGAGAAGCAAAAAAGAGCCGTCAGGTGCTAAAAAAACAAACCTTAGAACAGGCTTTTCCCTGCAGCACGCCGTGTAATAAATACTCAAAGAAAAATTGCGTCCGTTTCAACTTATGTAACACTCGACTCCAGGTACACGACGCCGAGCTGAAAACACTTCACGCAAGTCGAGTTGAGCGAGATTCACAGAATTGACAGAAAATGTAATATTTTTGTGATAAATACTGTTGTCGCCACGATAAATGTTTTATATCAGGATATGAGATTTTGGTCATATCGCACAGCCCTATAGGACACATACTGTCTGTGCTGTCAATGCTAACACCCAACAACCTTCCAGCCTGTAAAGTCTGGCCAACATTTGAAACCCATCATCACATGCCTTCTACAGGTCCAACAAGGACACTCAGTTGGAAAGCAGGAAGCCTGATTTAATTCTGACAAAATCTCCACTATGTTTTTAAGGTTAACTGGTGTAACAGCCTCTGCTGTGTTCACTGGATTACAGTTGGCAGAGATGTGAGATTGTGCAGCTGTGACATGCTCTACAGGGAATGTGAACCTATGTGAAGAATGGTGTGCCTGCTTATGCTGCTGTGATTAGTGCGATGGGCTTTTCACATGCACGAACCTATAATTTATGTCAGCTGCCCTGGAGGTTGCTCCTCATGCCCTTACATTGTGCCTGCTGTGTGGCGAGAAAATGCACGAAGACTGTGAAGGCATCGCAGGAATACTGCCTCTGACAGGGCTGAGCTGCATGGTCAAAGAAACCATTCGTCTGTGATCAAAGGCAATACCCCTGGAGGCAGAGAACCCTAACCATCCCATACAATGCCATGAGAGGAAAAGAGAAAGAAAAAAAAAAGAGGGAGGGACAGGCAGGGGCTACACGTTACCTTGGCCACTCAGGTTGGGATTTGTGTAGTCCCATGTGTCCTGGTCATTCTTGAAGACATTGAGTCGCGCTGGCTATAGAAAGGATGGCAAGATGAAAATGATTTTCTTCTCACAAGCACCTGATATTAACAGTCGAGCTACAAAGGGCAGTTAGACACTTACCTTGGCATATTCAATCTTTAGGGTGCAACAGCCAGAGTAGATGTCTGCCCCGTTAAGAGAGGCTTTAGCCCTCTGGGCACTTTGGACCGAATCAAATGTGGAAGCAGTGAGTTAAGGGGAGGTCTGGCTGCATAAAGGTTTAAATGCTCATGTAGAAACATACTGATGTTTCTGAGTGGGAGTAGTAAAAAAGAACATGATCTAAAAGGATATTCGACCATGGCCTGAACACCGTTTTTTCTGAAGATGACAATCCTCTGTACAGGACCACAGTTGTTACAAATAGTGTAGAGTACATCCTGTAGGGTTACACACACAGATTGATACATCACTATCGTGAGAATACTTTATGTGACAACATACATTTCATCTTTAAAACACAAACACGCAGTGCTTTGAAAGCTCTTACCCAAAGTCAAAAACTAGATTTTTTAAACGACATCAAAGGGGAAAAGATACTGATGATAGTAGTGATGAGTGTTGTAGAGACCAGCAAAGATAAGCAGTGAAGCAGGACCAGATGTATGAGACAAAACTCATACAGGTATTTTTAGGGTGGATAAGAACATACGACATATATCTCAGTATTTAATGAGGAATAGGAATAGATCACAGCACAACAAGTACTTTCATTAGAGCAGCTGGAATCATATAAAATAATAGAATTGGAAATACATTTCAGGAACGTTAATATAACTATTTCACATATCTCTTTCTGATGTTTGTTTTCACTAAGCTGGGGATAGTTAACATTCTTTAAGATGGAATGATGTGAAGTTCTGATTGGGTCTGTAGGATACAGGCAAGGAAACTAACCAGCACAGCTACCATATACAGCTGTAGACTGGTCAGCAGCGACCATGAGGCAACATCTAGAGCAGAAACATTACATTAATGCAAGGTTAACTGCATTTACTCTAGGTGCCACTGATTACAGACTCGGAAGTTAATAAATAAAGAAATATTTTTATAATTTTACAGCCCTGATTTCCATTACTTCAGGTCATGAAATTGGACTTTTCCACTGTGTGCTTCTTGTAACATTTTCAATGATTTCGGCTCCAGCTGATCCAGGAGAGAAGGACAACAGTTACCTAAGCAAAAACCTGTAGTGATCCCATATGTGTCAGGAGTATCAGAACCGCTGAAATGCATTTTTTCTAAACACCGCATCTCCGTGGCTTTCAAGCCCCAAAACACGCCGCGCCAAAAAAAAATTAGTCCACCCCAAGGATCAGGTCCCCGAACACAAATATAGTAACATGGTGTACGCTGTTAAATACCAAGACGATTGCCATGATTTATACATCAGGGAAACCAAACAATCTCTGGCGGAGTGGATGGCACAACACAGTAGAGCTACCTCGTCAGGCCAGGACTCTGCAGTCTACTTACACCTACAGGCCAGTGGACACTCTTTCAATGATGAGGATGTAACATCCTGGACAGGGAGGAACGCTGGTTTGAGTCAAAGAGGCCATTTACATGAAATGGGAAAGACGATCTCTGAATCGAGGAGGGGGCCTAACGGTACATCTTTCGCCATCTTACAATGCTGTGATTGCAGCGATTCCCCAACTCTCTGTGAATGGGACTCATGGCCATTGATCAGTGGTTGTTATTCAATGAGCTTGATCAGTGGTTGCTGATCAATGGTCATGAGAATTTGCATATTAATAATCAAGGAACTGACCTCCCAGCCCATTGTTTCTTCATTGGTGATAGTTTCAGTCATTATGCAAATGTAGTGTTTATAAGATTGGGGAAACCTGCAGTCAGCTGAGACTGAAGAAGTCACTTGGATGAGTGACCAAACGTTTCTCCCACTGAAAACGCTGCGTCCAGATGAACACAATCAACCTTTTGGGGATTTTCAATGGATTATCTGACTAGCATTATCAGATACCTGATATCTAACAATGAATTCACTGAATGATCTGTGGGAATATACAATAATAAATTATAAGAAGATGTTTTTACATTACCGTGGTAATGGGATAGATGGGGTTTATAATTGTGAGCAGCAGAACATTGTTGACGCTCCGAGTGTCATCCGAGTCTCCTGGTCTGGAAATCTTCTGACTAGTTGAGTAGTTGATGAAGGCAGGGTGACCTGCAATGTAAACCTGGTTCTCTGCTGCATAAGTAACAGCATTGCAGGAGCCGTTCATGTCCTCATACTCCACCAGGGCCTGCCGCTTCTTGGGCATCATAACCACAAAACTAGACATTAAGCAAGAGAAAGATGTATAGTTCCCACACTGAACCATGTTTAATGAATAAAGGCACAATCAGCCTATTAATTTTAAAACTACACAACTTGAATTTAGTTACAAGCAAACTTACTTTGCCTATAACTTATCAAACCTAAACTAGTATTATAAATTGAGTTAGGGAATATGAGATTAACAAGAACCAACATTTAAATCAGCTCAATACCTTTTTTTTGTTAGTTGTTAATATTCTGTGGAACATACGGGAGTGTATGGTTGACATCAGACATGTGCACCAATCTCAGTCCACTGAATGCGACAAACACGATAGAGAAGCTTCAGTTTAAGTGTGTTCAGCGTTTACCTGATGGTGCCAAACTCTTGCAGGGCTTCCACCAGGTCAGCCTCCATGACACCGTCCACCAAACCCCTGATATGCACCACCGGGGAGGGGAGCGGTTTGTGAGGGTCATCGTAGCTCTCCTATTTTTTTAATTTAAAAAAAAAAAAAAAGGAAACGCAAGATAATGTTTGCTGAGACATAAACAACCAAAAACAGCCAATCTGTGTCAATCAGCCCTTTAACAATAACTGCACTGGGGATTTGTGTTAGAAACTGACATTAAACTGCAACAGAGTTTTTTTGCAACACTGAAACTAAAACGTGTCTTCTATCTGTACACACAGTGAAATTGCGTGTCATTAAACAGGTATTTCATATTACACAATAAACATGCAATTACTGTTGTTTAAACGAAATCTGACCATACCATTGGCTTGTTTGGTTTGGCTCGCTAGTTAGCTACTTAATTTTAGCTAGCGGTGAGACAAGCACTACTTTTGCTATAAAGTATATTTGTTTCTTAGATAAACAAAACTAGCCTATTTAAGCATACTAAAACACCAACTACCGGAGTCAGAAGGAAACACTTACCGTTGTCATTCCTCCGTCTTCAGTTTTCTGTCTTTTCGTTGCTCTGCCACCTTCTCCGTAGTATCGGCCCGCAGAAGCAGCCATGTTGTCCTGTCCCCTGTGCCGGCCTATTGCTGCATTCCAGATACGTGGGAAAAAACGGGATGGTATTTCCATAACCATCAGCAACGGCTCTATTTTCAATAAACCACTCTAGACTTCCACGGTGTAAGACCGGAGACTTCCTTTTCCCATAAAAAAAAGTCATATTTTATTCTGCAAGTGAGACAACGATTCGAATGACTAAACATTTTTCTCTCTGTGAATGTCCGTTCGACATTAAAAAAAAATGTCGTTTAGACTAATGTGCTATGAAGCTTCTTTTTCCCATGATGACCTTTGAATGCAACAAGAAAGTGGCTCGCGCTTAGCATGTTCCTATTGGTCACTTTTGCCTGTCAATTATTAATGTCATGACAGGAGGTGGAGTTGATCCCTTTGTTCATGTTTTAGAACCAATGATTGTATGAAAAACGCTTTAATTTAGTTTTAATCTACAATCAAAAAACAGTGAAAAACAGAACATTTAGAAACTTGAGCTTAAAAAGTTGTAATTTCACATCACTTCTTGCTTCCAGCACATATTTAATATGATGAAATAATGGTGATTGAACAAGAGAAAGACCAGAAAGAGAAGAAGAATTTTATCTGTCTGATTGTCTCCATCAAATAGATATTCTATTATACCAGGGGGCACTGGTCAACCCCCCAAATTTGCTGCCTACCCACCAGTGGTCCCTCCTGGCAAATCAACGTGACACTTTTATTGTCACGTCACATTAATGGTACACTGGTACAGCACATGAGAGTGAGATTCTTGTGTACAAGCTTCAAGCAAATATAAGGGCAGGAATGTGAGAATTATAAGAATAAATACATGTACAACTTTAAGGATGTATGCACATTACTAATATATATGACAAATATTTATATATGTGT